ATGTCAGATAGAATGTCTTAGTATATGCCAGAAAGAATGCCAAACAGAATGTCAGAATATAAATTTATATATATGCCACAAAAGATCCAGATGGTATGTCAGAAGCTATGTCAGAATAGTGTGTGAGGGCGGGGATCACAAGACAGTAATTTAATTGATGGATTATAGATCTCAGATTTTGACGCACATGTCAGGGAGTTTTAATGGACAGACATAGATATAATAATGGAGGACATGGGATGGCTGTAATGATCCAAAGAGAATAACCCAGCTTCATAGTTCCAACATATTCCAAGATTTCAAGGCCAGCCCCCCCGAATAGCTGAATCAAGAACCCTAGCCTGGTGGAGTATTTTTTTGGCTGGCAGGCGAAATTCAGAGTATTGTGGCTGTGACCGTTGATGGCATCAACCCAGCTTGGTTGGGTGTTAGCCAGCCAGCGGACCGGGGATGGGTGGCAACGGTGGAACGTTTCATGGTACAATGTACCTACCATGGAGGTGTTATTCCTGAGAATTTATAGCACCCACCAAATAGATAGAAACATTAGAAACCGGTAACATATGGAAATATGGGGTTGCTTTATGATTCTGATTGATTCTGTGCATTTCATGTTGGGTGGAAATGTGGAATAGCCAAATGAGTTGTGCTTCATCCGTCATGGGCACGGATACTCTATATCCAGCTGATCGTATCAACGTGGTGCAGAAAGTGATTCTAGTTGAACCTGCAGGTTTTTTTTTCATATTTGGGAATCGGAATTTATCATTTCACTTCTTTGGTTTCTCCCCACAAGGAGACTGTCAACCCACTTGACATTTTTTTTTCAGAAGAATTGAAACACCAAAATTTTATTTGGCAGTCATTGCCGGACGGAATGTTCGAATCCTTCAAAATGATGCCGTTGTTTGCGCTTAGGATCACGTCAAAGGGTGGGACTGATGTTTGATTCACCCAACTGTTTCAGGGGAAGGGTTCGGCAATGGAAAGCCAACACCCAACCATAGCCTGATGGCAAGAGATACACACGTGGAAAACTAAAAGATGGATACTGTACCATATCCAAGCGCAGAACATGTTTTTTCTCGACATTTATGTCAAGTGTTTGCAATGTGCATGTGTTTGCTCACCATTTGTGTATGGTGTGTTTGCAATGTGCCTGTGTTTGAATGGTTCTTCAACGTGCTTCATATTTCTAAGATTATAATTTATATATATATCTGAGTAGGTTGTAACGACCTCACTACGACCTCATTGGAATGATGGCTATTCAGGTGAATTATCCCAATATGGTTTCATTTCAGGTTAATGAAGTGTTACAATTTACCCATATGTAATTATACATATATATATACATACATATATGGTATATGATTGTTTTATCATTGTATGGTTTTAGTTTGGAAATAGGGTACCCCTAAGTCCAGTGGTCAATTGGTCAATCATCAGTTTCCCCATCCGCCAAAGGGATTTCCATGGGATGCATGACCAGAAGCCACTAATGCCATGTAACTTGACCATGGCACATATGGGGTCCCAAATGTATATGTATATATTTATTTATGTATTTATTGATTTCCCATATCCCAGTAATAGTTAATGAATATCCCATTTCAATGGCTATAGATAGTATATCTCAAGACATCAAGTTCCATCAATGGGTTAGATTGATGATAGAAATCCTCATACATTGGTTGTTAGGTTTGCCCAGCGCTCGAGCAACCGGGTCTCGCTTCCGCGCAAGCTGCAGGATCCTATAGAAGCAATGCAGCCGTGCCAAGATGACACCATCGGGCGGGATGGTCAGGGTTACCCTCTGGTAAACTAACATAACTATGGAAAATCACCATTTTTTATGGGAAAATCCACTATAAATGGCCATTTTCAATAGCTATGTTAAATTACCAGAGGGTATCAACTATAACTATAACTCATTGGGATGATCCTCAAAGTCAACATGGTCAACCGCACCCAGGATAGGATAGGATGGACAAGAGAAGAAAGTGGGGATTCTTGGTTTAGGGTTGTTCAACACCTGAGTATCAATGTGAAGTATCAGACTCGTATTTCTCCAACACGGCTGCACCGCAGGGGTCAAAAAGTCGCTTGGCTGGAATATCCTTGACGGATCCTTTGAGACTACAAGGACGCCGTAGTATGGACAGACAACGATGCATGCCCGTAACTGACTAGTGTTTTGCCTCTTGAGACATCCTCAAACGAACGACTTGTGGTGAGTTCGCACACTATCTGGAGCACCAGATATAGCATGGAGTCATGCTTTTCTAACCTCTGAGTTGCTCTAGTGCCTATAGGAAAAAACGTGGTAGGATATCAAAGTTAGGAAGTTTTTTGTTTGTACCATCAAACATGTTATGAGCGGTTTCCTCTTTCCCTGCAATTTGTTAGTAATCCCATTCCAGAATTTCGCTATGACTCAAATCTATGTGCTCAAGAAAAATTGGTGAATTGTCTACACTGGAATTGAGATGAATTAAGTGTACACTGTACAGGTACTCAACAAAATGATTAGATAGGTACAAATTAATAGATCGTGTACGGTTTTGAAAGTTTAAACGGTAAAACATATCAAAACATATCATATATATATACATAACATATAAATTAATATACAGATCATGTATATGTTTGATAGTTTAAAGGGTCAAAACATATCAAAACATCATGAACTGTCGCATTTTCGGCGAGTCGGTGCCAAACACGAGGTGATATATCCCTGCTCAGTTGGGTTTGCAAGCCGCTGGGTTTGGATCTTGGTTTCTCCTGCCGGCCTGCGCAAAGATTGTGCCCCAGTTTTGCACTTCAGAAAGCGCATGTGTTGATTCGTTTTTTTTTTGGTGTTTTTTTCGGAACTGATGGAGCTCACTTAGATCAATGGATAATTCTGATCTTAGGTAACGCATTCTTACGGGAAAAACGCATGTCAGAACAGCGATCGTTCTGAGGGGTCATGTTTGAATGAATCCACCCATTTTTTTTTGGCACAAGATGGAGAAGCTGCCGCATCATGGGGGAGTAGGGAAACTGCAGCATAGAGTTGTTTGTCAATAGTAGTTGAATCTAGCACGCGCTTGCTTAGGCCAATTTCATAGGGGTGTTGTTTCAACACACTGATCAATCTTTGCGTTACTTCGCATTGCAAAAAGGGTGTCTTCCAAAAAACAAAGTTCCACCAGCAGGGTTTCTTGTCTGAGGTCATCATCAATGGGTATTCCAATCGGCCCATCGTTCTCACGAAGTGTTTGTGTTCTCAGTAGGCCAATTGTTTTAATGAGAGGAATCGTTTCTGGTGGACGATAGCCTAATTTTTTCCCGGACGTTTTTGATCAAAAAAAAAGGCTCAGAAGGATCCCGGTGGGAATGGGTGTGGTTGCGTTTCAGAGGGGGAAAAAAACAAATTCTCCATTCTCAGCCGGCAATCGCTCTCAGTGACCAGCATCGTTCTCAAGGAAAGAAAATGAACAGTTTTCACCATATTTTTTCAGCTGAGTTGGGGCAGGGGACAGGAGTGTGTACTTTGGTGTGCAACGTGCACGCATCGTGCTCAGCAGCACTGACTGTGCTTTCTTACGAACACCGATCATTCTCACGAACACCGCATCCATGGACTTGGGATCAGACTGATTTGGGTGCCTAAAGCGGTTCTCCAGATCAATCATAATAAATTATTACGTTTTTCCGTGTTTCCTTCAGGAATCTAATTCATATTCAGCAAAGGATTACCTGAAATTTGATTGCAGCAACTATGACCTCCATATGTTGAAATTCCTTTGGAAAGGGTTTGCGTTTTGCCTGTATGAAGGATGGTTAGTGTGAATTTTTGGGCATTCTGTATTGTTATTCAAAAATTGCCAAAGTTGAAACAGCCCTTCGGAATGGGCAGGGTTTCATTAGAATAATGGATAGTTTGGATGTAAATGAATGTATATGTACACATTTTATGATCTATAGATTACAGTAGATGCCATTGAGACGCTAGTTATGAGATATGAAACACAATCGATTCAATATAGAAGTTATGATAAATAATGTTCCGTCATGATTTGTGCGTACTCTCAAAAGAGCAAATTCTATACGCTCTTTGAAGCTGGTTTTCCGAAGGCTGCTCCCCAGATAGGAAACAATCATACATTTAAGTAAGGATTTTGATTTGCGACAATTGAAAACCACATTTTTTGTTGGCTCCTTAACTTGTAGTACTTGCAGTACTTATAGTACTTCAGGAAAAAATGATTTGCCAAACAAGTTGGCCACAACACCGAACCAAGGCAACAATACATGCACTCTGAATAATTTGGAGATTTCAAGCAACATTATCACCTGTACATGATGTAGTCTTGCACGTTTATGTGTGCATGCCTTGCTTTGGGTTGGATCTGTTCGTCCTTGGCGTATGCCTTGAGATGACCGTACAAAGTCAACACGGAGGGTTCGTTGTTTCAAAGCAAGATGGGCAGCCATGCAGCGCCACGCAGAGACCTCAGGTGTGAAGCCACCAAGCAAAACTGTCAAAAATCTGGTTCAGCATTCCCCGGACATGTACACCACACACGTGCAGAACTTTTGCCCCTTGGCCGCGGGATTTGGAGCGGTTGATGTTGGTGGATCTTGGTGGATCGGAAAAACTGCGCGCAGAACATAGACACGCCCAGGGAAACAGGCACTAAGGACCAACAATACCACGGGATTTCTCAGTTCATTTTACTTGGTGTCCCATGTCTTTTTTTTAATAGTGACATGTTCATGGACTACGTGGCTTGACCTTTCCAGGCAAAACAAGATGGCATCCTTTAAAGATGGACAATTCGACTTGGAAGTTGTTGTTTTGTTTTAATGAATAGACATACAATTCTGTTTCTGTTCCATATGTTCTTCAAGCCATGATGGCTAACTGAACGAAATAGCTAGAACATTGATGAACATTGCCTAACTTAGTACATGGCCTTTTTGCTCCAGGCACTAACGTTCCCGACGGCTTCATGTGCCCCGTGACCTGCAACTCGGACCGTGCTCCCACCGGGTCCATCCAGTGCAAGGCGCTGACCATGGCTGACCTCAACCGGCTTCGAAAATGGAAACGCCGCAACGAATCCCGAGCTAGACATGTACAAAATAGATCAAAATAGATCAAAATGGTCTAAAATGGTCTAAAGTCATCAAGTTCCCAATTCCCAGATGTTTTTTAGGACAATCAGTTGGGGGTATAGCATGCATGGTATACCGGTCCCCATTTGGTCAGAAACGAAGATGATAACCGGCACATCAATGGCACATGGCACTTGGAAATCCATGTCCCAATAGAGAAACACCATGAAAAAACGATAGCTGGGAACATCATCTTAGGATATCTAGGGTATATCCACATGTTAAGAAAAAAACATTGAAATATATAGATATAATGTGGATACATATAATACCCCATCTACTATTTAATATCTATATAAATGGGGTATGTTCCAGCTAGCCATATTAGGATATTGGATATGGAAAATATGTATCCACATTATATCCCATAGGTTGTCATTAACTATCCCATTATGATATCCAGGCCGATGAAACCTCCAGTTCTCCCATTAAGATATATTAATATCTCATGAAGTCGCACTATTGCATAAACAATCACTATAAAATCCCATGTATTCATATTTATACCATTTATTCATGTGCTAAGTTCTATCCATACGATCATGTCCATCCATTTCCATCGAATTCCCGCCAGAACGGAAGATGGCAGAGAAGCTTGAATTGCCGGGAGAAACGAAAGGTGCCCGGGCTATAAAAAATGCCAATCATGGAGTCTGTTGGTATACAATAAATGGGTTTGTATACCTCTGCCATCTGCATCTACCCCAGAACTCTGGGTACCTATGAATTGATTGGGACGATGCCACGATGTCGTAGGGGCACAATTTGATATTTTGCTCGCGGAGTAGCTACTTAAGGTAACAAACTGGAAACTTATCGCAAAAAGACACTCATGGATAGTTCTGGAGTTTGATGGTGGTTTCTTCTCCACCAGAGGCAAATTCAATGAAACAAAAGGTGACTTTCTATGATTGTGATGATATCTCCTTTGCAAAAGCCAAGACCATCATCATCATCATCATCATCATGTCGATCGCGTATATACCTGGTACCAAACCATCATTCCGATGGTAACATACATTCAGGATGTTTCAAGTACTGTATATGCAATGTACATCTAAAGACGATACCAGGCCCAGAGTATACTAGATTCTATAGCATGAGGCAAATTGCGCCAAACATTTCATAAACTACTGTACCAATAGCCCTGGTACTCTAACGTAGCTATGGAAAATGGTTTCTTTGCAGATGATTTGCCCTTTAGATATATTTTATATTGGGCTTCCATGGTTTTCCAGAGCTACTGTATGTTAGATTACCATTTCGGGTATGTCATTCTAATCCTCCAGCCATCCCCTTGGTGGATGGTACCCTTGCCAATGAGGTCTGCCTGTCTCCATTCAAGACAGCGCCTGGACAGATAGTGATGATTCATGTTGGGAAAATGTGTGAGGCTTGGGGAGGCTTTTTCCCGAATGCGTAGCAAGGGTTCCCGTTTCACTCTGGGGGTCTGGGGGTTGAGGTGTGTTCGCTCGACGTTGCATTCACGGTCGCAACCGTTCGCCACCGTTCGCAACCGTCCACAGGTGTTCGCGCGATCCCCATATGGCCGTGCCTATGGGAAGTTCTGCAGAGGTGGTCCTTTTTGGGGGTTGCAGACGTGTCGTTGCTTCGTTTCGCGTGGCAGGCGTGGCACTTCGTGACATTCAGACGTGTTCTGGAACGTGTCGAAAGTCGTTTTGCGTGGCAGGCGCAATACTTTTGTGACGTTGTCAGAAGATGTGTTGCAGTTTTCGTGGCAGGCGCAGCACTTTGGACGTGTCCATCGTCATTTTTCGTGGCAGGCGCAGCACTTTAGACGTGTCCTGTTGCGTGTTTTTTGCAAATCGCATTGGCAGGGCTGCGTCAAGTGGTGACAAGGTGCAAATTCCGTGGCAGGCGTGGCATTTTGTGTGATGTGCTGAAAATTGACGGAAGCCTCGCACGAAACATCGATTTTGAGGTTGCAAATTTTCAGGTTCTAAGGAAAACTCGTAGGAAAACGTCGATTTTGCAGCTACAAAGTGTGAAAATTGGAGGAAGTCTCGCACGAAATGCTCGTTTTGGTGCTCCCACCTGTCTCGTCTCGCGTCTCTGGTTTTCCCGTGGCCTCGCCGTGTCTATGGGGGAAGCTGCAAAACTTGTCCTTTTGTCATGTTGCCAACTGTGAAAATCGCCGGAAGTCTCGTACGAAATGATCGTTTTGGTGCTCCCACGTGTCTCGTCTCGAGTCCCTGGTGTTCCTGTGGGTTCGCCGTGTCTATGGGGGAAGCCGCAAAACCTCTCCTTTTTGAAGGTTTCCAAGGAAGTTGTCATGTCGTTTTGCGTGGCAGGCGTGGCACTTTGTGACATTCCAACCTGTTTGATAATGTGTCAAAAATGTCAAAATTGGAGGAAGTCTCGTACGAAATGCTGGTTTTTCTGCATCCACGTGTCTTGTCTCGAGTCGCTGGTTTGCCTGTGGCGTCGCCGTGTCTATGGGGGAAGCTGGAAAACATGTCCTTTTCGAATGTTTCCAAGCAGGCTGTCCTGTCGTTTTGTGTGGCAGGCGTGGCACTTTGTGACATTCCAACCTGTTTGATAACGTGTGGAAAGTGTCAAAATTGGAGGAAGTCTCGTACGAAATGCTCGTTTTGGTGTTCCACGTGTCTCGTCTCGAGTCTCTGGTTTGCCCGTGGCTTCGCCGTGTCTATGGGGGAAGCTCCGCACTCCACACACTACACTTTACACTCCACACTCCACAATTTACACTTTAGACTCCACACTCTACACTATACACTCCACACTTTACACTTTGCACTTTACACTCCTCACTCCTCACCCGAGACTTTACACTCCACACTCCACACTCCACACTTTACACTACACTCTACACTTTCCACTCCTCACTCCTCACTCTACACTTTACACTCCACACTCCACGCTCTACACTTTACACTCCACACTCCAAACTTTACACTACACACTCCTTACTTTACACTCCACACTTCACACTCCACACCTTTCCACTCCACACTCCACACTTTACACTCCTCTCTCCACACTCCACACTTTACACTCCACACTTTACACTCCACACTTTCCACTCAACACTCCACACTCGACACTTTACACTCCACACTTTACACTCCACACTTTCCACTCAACACTCCACACTCGACACTTTACACTCCACACTTTACACTCCTCACTCCACACTTTACACTCCACACTTTACACTCCACACTCCACACTTTACACTCCACACTCTACACACCACACTCTACACTTTCCACTCCACATTTCCACTCCACACTACACTTTACACTCCACACTCCACACTTTACACTTTACCCTCCTCACTCCACACTCCACACTCCCCACTTTACATTCCACACTCCACACTCTACACTTTTCACTCCACACTCCGCACTCCACACTTTACTGTGCACTCCACACTCCACACTTTATACTTTACACTCCTCACTCCACAACTCCACACTCTACACTTTTCACTCCACACTCCGCACTCCACACTTTACTGTGCACTCCACACTCCACACTTTATACTTTACACTCCTCACTCCACACTCCACATTTTTCACTCCTCACTTTACACTCCACACTCCACACTCTGCACACCACACTCTACACTTTCCACTCCAAACTCCACACTCTACACTTTACGCTCCACACTCCACACTTTACACTCCACACTTTACACTCCACACTCCACACTTTACACTCCTCTCTCCACACTCCACACTTTACACTCCACACTTTACACTCCACACTTTCCACTCAACACTCCACACTCGACACTTTACACTCCACACTTTACACTCCTCACTCCACACTTTACACTCCACACTTTACACTCCACACTCCACACTTTACACTCCACACTCTACACACCACACTCTACACTTTCCACTCCACACTCTACACTTTACACTCTACACTTTACACTCTACACTTCACACTCCTCACTTTACACTCCACACTCCACACTCCACACTTCACACTCCTCACTCCACACTCTACACTCTACACTCCACACTCCACACTCTACACTCCACACCCTACACACTTTACACTCCACACTCCTTACTTCACACCACACTCCACACTCTACACTTTCCACTCCACACTGCAGACTGGTAACAAGGGAAACATGTACAAGACTATTCAAATAAACTATTGCAGAAAGGTATTGTGCGTCACTGCATAACCATGTGTATTGACATCTGTACCATTAACATACGTGTGAGCATTCGGCTTCGTGGGCTTCATCTTGTTTCATGGGAAATCCATGGGCATCCTGGATCATAACCCATCTATTTTATTGGGATATTAATTGGGGATATGGATAGAACTATCTATCTGGATACATGAAAATTCATACCCTCCAGTGTGACCATACCGCACTAGCCATGGAGGTTTACAGCATTCACACCCCATTCAGTATCATCCAAAGAATCTAAAGTGTCAGGTTCAGGTGGGCCAGGGCCAGGGCCAATGATCACAAGGGTCATCATTGCTGCAAGAAAATCTGATACTACCATATCATGCCCAGACACTCCATGTATGGCATATTTACCTGCATTTACCCGAAAAACGACCCAAATGTAGGTAAATATTCCATACATAGAGCATTTGGGATTGGAATTTGATGGTCATAATTTGTCATGAATATATCATATACTGTGTATATACCATTACTATTATATACTATATATATATATTCTTACTTTTACTAGTATTAATATTATCTGATTGCATGTTCATTCTGTCACATTCCAGATACTGCAGATACTCTCCAGCTGGAATGGGATCCCGGTCCGGTAAATTGGAGCGTGCCCAGTTGACGGTCACAACGTCTGGCAATTCCAACAATCGCAGCTTGGAGCTGGAAAACTCCCCGCTGGGATTTCCCGTCATGGCTTGGGGAAAGCACCACTTTGGAAGCCAAGTCGTGAGGGATTCCTGTATTTTTCATGGCGGGGCCGTGTTATGATTTTTTGTTCATGGGTCGCTCCAACTCATCGTGGTTTTTCCAAAACGGATAGCCACAAATGACCAAGGTTGGTTTTTCAGACACATCCAAGCATGGAAATCAGAAAGCCTCTTGATCGCCGGCTGTTTGAAGGAGACTATTGATATGAGCGGACTGAAAACATTTGAATATCATAGAATTGTGTGATTGTGTCACCAGTAGCAATTTGTATTGTCAAATGTTTTGTAATTGCTGCACATGTGTGGATATACATATGGGAGGGAACCTTTCCTGGATATTGTATTCCTTGGTTTCTGAGTTGTAACATCTCGGTTGATAGATCTTGTACATGGACAATAATGATACGGTTGTGCATTTGCAGTATCCAGATACAGATCATATGTCCAGCCTTTTGTCCCTTGTCTTTGCAAGTGTTGCCTGGAGACGCGTGGTGAAAGTCCTAGTCTTTATGGCATTCATCAAGAATTGGGCACTTCTCCCAATCAAATTGGCTGACAATATCTCAATATGCTTTGGTAAGAATTACCCATTCAACATCATTCAACCTTTGGTTTGCAAACGGAGTAAGATTTCAACCTCTACCACAGGGCCGGCTGGTTAGCTTCACTATCGCCAAAAAGGCGATGCGGTTTGTTTTGTCCGTGAGGGATGCGATGTTTTTTTGTTTTAATCAACTCCAAAATCCTAAGCTTTGGTTTGGTGTAATGTAAACAGTAAATTATGACTATTTTATATTGTCACACAATGGTGGATCAGTGGATCATGAAGAACCCATATCCAACTTCCAGTCATCCTTTGGATCGACCTGCACCCGCTCAGTTTGGAGCATCAATGGCGTCGTGCCGGACAAGCTGCTAGCTTGCATCCATCTGGCACCAGAATTTGCGTCAGTTTTACTATGCTTTTAGACTTTTAGGATTGTACTAAACTTTACTAAACACCATGGCCCGAACAAGTTTAATCCGTACCTATTTGGTGTGAGGATGAAAGGACTCTAGTCTATACTGTTTGTCTATTTCATGATGCTGACGGAACACTTCCATCACTCATATTTAATTGCCTTCGTCATGCCTGCCGGCCATAGAGAGGTGGCCCCAAGGGAGTTTGATGTGCACTCTAGGTGGAAGCCGGAGAGAGAAGCAGAAGAGAAGAAGAAGAAGAATAAGAAGAAGAAGAAGAAAAGGAAGAAGAAGGAGAAGCAGAAGAAGAACCAGGGGAGACGAAGACAGAGCCGTAAAACGGAAGCAGCTTGTGTAGCAAGTGCTGGCCGTAACAACCTATATATTGACCGTGTACCAAATTAGTGCCGCTCCAAGCAAGTAGCGCCGGGTACTACGTATGAGCCTCAAGCTTGACAGCAGACTGCTGCATGGAAGGGGACAGGGTGGAAGCCAAGAGAGGTTGCCCAAGAGAGGTTGTTGCGCACGCTAGGTGGAAGCCTGAGAGAGAAGCAGAAGATAAGAGAAGAAGGAGGAGGAGAAGAAGAAGAAGAAGAGGAAGAAGAGGAAGAAGAGGAAGAAGAAGAGACGAAGACTAGACAGAACCATAGATGCCATAGATCAGAAGCAGCTTGAGTAGCAAGTGTGTGCTTGAACAACCGAACAACCTATGGACCGCATACTGTACCACGTGAGTGCCGGTCGATCAGTTTAGTACTGTGTGCGTCCTGTGACTAGGACCGGTAGACGATTGCAGTGTAAAGTACAGTACAGTACAGTACTTAGACTTAGATTGAGACGGGGAGGAGGGGGGACACAATTCAGACGAAGCAAAAACGCGTAGAAATAGAACAAAAGAACGAGTACAAGCCAAGAACAGAACAGGAACAACACCTTCCAATCAGACACGCAGGCTGGCCGGCGGATTGATTTCTGTTGTAGTTTTCAAGGATAAGCGGTGACGGTTTAATTGAAACTTAACCAAATTGATGTTGATGCCATGTTCGTCAAAGCAATCGAGCTTACAGATACTGAGTAATATCAATTTCCTAAATGTACCTCGAGTTCTTATGCCCGAGACAGCAGTATCCCACCTGGTGAGACCCGAAGTTTGAAGCATCACAGCGACCAAGGCGGAACCGATGTGACCTTTTTTCACGACAAGGGAAGAAATGCAAGGGCACATGCAGTTCAGGCGCTGCGGACTGCTGCTAATCTAGCAAAATCCATAGGCAGGAGATCTTGATGAACTTGATGACCCATTATGTCATCAAGAATACGAAAGAGCATTTATTGATAGACTCACGATAATGTCTATTTAGCTAATTTTGCTCGTTATGTCTTCGAGACAATGGCTTCCCAACTGGGTGTGTTTTTCCAGTCCGTTCGAGGCTTTGGAACTGGACAGCTCCATTGCAAAAGAGGCCAGCGGCACCTATCGGATCCGAATGGTCCTCACATGTGTGTAATTTTGAATCATCTGGTTTCTGCCATCAATTCAAATTTGAAAAAGGGGTCTTTGACATCCAGTGCCTTGAAGACTAGAGGAGCAACAGTTCTAGCATGCCGAAGACATCCGAAGACAATTTGGGATGGTGGATGCATCCCTATATAAGAAGTTTTATGTCGACAGTCCCAGCTGGTCTTCTACGTATTATTTCCCCAAGGGTCTCAATAAGGGTCAGGCCATGTCTTTGGTTTTAGTATCACAAACCTTCCCTTTTCCTGGGGTACCCCCGGTACCTATTGGTCCTTTACGCATGTATGCACACTGAATGCATACTAATATACTAATATAATATAAGATAATTTGGTTTAACAAAGCATAGTTTGATATAATACCATATAGTTTGCTAAACATAATGTAAAATATGTTGGAAGAACAAAACATTAAATTTATAATTCAGTTACTTACTTTACAAATTACGTCAGATTAGATGTGATATCATGTAATTTGAATTAATTTGATTTATGTTTTTTTTGCATGATGTTTTCAAACAAACGTAAATTATCATCATGCAAATGTAATTTAACGTAACTTAACATAACAGAACATTTACTATCAAAAGCTATTTTCAAAATAAATTATCATATAATATTTAACAAAGAGATATGTCACATAATTCATACCAAACATACGGTGCGTTTTAGTATAATAAAGTTTAATTTAGCCTAGTAATGTAATTATACTTGATTTTAGTTTAATATAGTATAATTGTAATACAAATTAGTTTAACAGAACATATTTTTAAAGTTCATTTAGTAAAACAAAATATGATATGGTAATTGTTTGTAACCAATATTTTTGCATATAATTCAGTAATGATATAGTTTATGTAATAAAATATTGTATAAAATAATTAACACAGTTTAATTTCACAAAATTTAATATTACAATCTGGAGCATTTTAATATATTTTAATGGCCATGTGGATACACCATTTTCAAACATACACTGGAATCATCCCCAAACGGAACATTCAAAGTTAGTGAAATATTTTGATTTACCCATACATATGTATATATATTTATACATACATGCATGCATGCATGCATACAGACAGACATACAGACAGACATACATACATACATACAATCACCACCCCTTTAAGAATTACACATAAATAAATATATAAAAATATACAGTTTGTGGACGTCACCTTGCTTGACATCTCGAAACTTCCCGCCTTCTCGTGCAGCCCTGGAGGCCAAACGGACACTTCCTTGGCTGCCACCGGCTTCTGGCAGGCCCTTTTGGCACATTTGAGCAGTGTTCGAAAGTCTTGTTCGTTGATGATTAGTTCAGGGGATTATACTACCCTTTATATATTGGTTTATTGGATTATTATACTCCTCAATATCTTGGGTAGTATTAGTATAATCCTCATACTATTAGGGTATCCAATAGGGACATTTGGGTGTTTCCTAAGTCATGGGGGTACCCTCAATCATCCAAGGTGTGGCCATGACTTCGTAAACCTTCGGTGACTTGGGGATCCCCCATTTGACAAAAACATCACCTCATTTATTCACATAACATTTTAATATGTTATTTATATATGATATATGATGTACACATATATTTACATGAACAATAGTTTGTATATATAAGGTGATACGCACCGATAAATAAATATATATATATATCGTGACGCAATGGGAGGTTAATGGGATGTTTATGGGATTCAACCAACCAACTAATGGGATATAACGGGGATAACAAGGGATATAGTGACATTAGAGGGGGTCTCAAGGATATATATATATATATGATATTTTATGGATTGATTTTGCAATCTATAATGATCCCCCTGCAAAGAATTGGAAGAGATGTGCTCAGTATCCACAGGATATGGGAAGAATATGGCAGAATCTGTTTCACGTTTGCAGATCATCTACATTCGTTCCCTGATTATTCTAATATGAATGTATCCATCAGTCCATCTATGCCCAAGAGAACTGGAAGTGGCAAAAGCTGCAGCGTCAGGCCGCAAGATTTCGGTCGTTGTGAAAGAAATGATACTTCTAGCTGTACTCACTGTACTCTTTGAGTTGAACTCTGGCTGGTTGGTGTTTGTACTTCCTTCCTTTTGGATCCTTTTGAGACATGATTCAGCCACTTTTTTTTCTGTAGCGTATTGAAACCATAATTCCTCTTCAGCTTTCAGTCTCTGGGATTCAACTTTGGGTGCTAGTATGACAGGTATGATGCCTAAACAGAACTGATGTTTGCATTTTCCATGCACGCACAATAGCGCTGCCAAAGACTTTTGCTAGGAACATCCAGAACTTCTCCTAGTGTTTCAATGATCCATGAAGTTCCTCGGTGGGAACCCGGTGATATCCTATAGGGTATCCCAGTGAGCAGGGCTATTTCAGGCTTTGTTCTGGCCATTTATCACCCAACTTCTATACCTGGGCACCCCTAGCCACATCCACATCCGATTTTCCTTCCAAGATTAGGATGAAGGGGAAATCTAGAGGAAAGCCCCATGCTAGATAAGAACCAGGGTTCCGACGTTCAAAGTTTCCTTAAAACTTATCCATTGTTTGTCATAGATGTTCCATTAATATCTTTATCATATCCCTTTAATGTCCCATTGTACCTCCATTGCATCCGCATTTTCCTTCTTAAGGGATCATCGCAGGCAAGACCAAACTTTGTGTGCAGCAATCCTGCCGTCGACACCTTGTATCCACGACCTGCGTGACTTTGACGCGCTGACGGACAGGGGACTGGTGACTGGAAAAAGGCCATTGGTTGAGTCGAAAGGGAATGGCATAGTGTGGCCCAATTGCAGAAAACGGACTGCATGAAATAACCAGGTGGCTGCAGGTATCCGTCAACTCTCAATCCGCGCGACAGGGGGGTTGTTCTAGCTGACTACACAATATGTTTAGATGTGTGTCGGTGAACAAGCAAACACGATGCTGCTAATCCCGCAATACCCCTACTGAGAGCGAACAAAAGTAGGATTTACGGGTCTTGAAAAAAATCTGACGAAGATCTGACGCTTTAAAGCCCTCCAAATATCCCATCAATTTATAACGAGTTCATGGTATCAAATAAATCCTGGAAATAGATACTCTATTTTCTGATAGATACATTTACAATTATATAATATTATATATAATATGTATAGCCACCATAGATGGCCTAGTCATAATATATATATATATATAATATGTATAGCCACCATAGATGGCCTAGTCACAATATATAGAAGTGTATATAGCATGAGAACAACCAAAGACTGAGATGTTTTTTGAGCCTGAAACTCTGGAGATGATCAACTGTGATGGAAGCCTAGATAACATAGATATTGATATTATTAAAATTTATTACACATCTATTATTCTAATGGTACACATCATTATATGAGGAATCGTTACGCATACTTCTCCATAGATCTTCATTTTCAGGAGTTCCCATAGTTCCCACAGAAAAGCATTGGGAAACTGGATGAAACTGGTCATTTCTTGTTCCGAAAGTCTGCAGCTTCATCCAAGGATCAGTTTCCTGGAGCAAGTGGAAGGCGAAAAGACCACCATCCGCATCACAGCGCGCATCCGTCATGAGCCCGACAAAGTTCGCTCGAATATCAAGAAGCACCTTGGCATCCCTTGGCCATGGCCGACATGGATCTGCAGCATGGTATTTTGTTCAGCGTCGTAACCATTTGGTCAAAGGCTAGTAAGAATGACCAATGTTTAAAGTCATTCTCAGGAGCTTGAACCATACGTTTTTGAGAGTGTTGCGATGTGTTTCGAGTCCAATGATTTCGGGCCATATACATCATATACATAGTTTTTGTTAGCGGACAGGTTACCCTTCCAAGACATGTTTATTGGAACCGCCTGCAATGGTTCCCTGGTTCCCTGCTCCCGCTGTGTTTCCAGGGTGATCTTCAAAGAGCGGCGTAATCGGATGAAGAAAAGTGAAGAAACAGCTCCCTCGAGTGACACAACGTGGGGAAGCCCGGAAGATTTTGTATATATGTTTACTATAAATCACCCATAACAATGGATAACAAAGCCGAAAATTATCGGTTATAAACTATGTTTTATGGGTAGTTATTTGAAGAGTCAAACTAGATTGTGTTTCTTTCATTTTTGTATATCCCCAGCCCAACGAAGAAATAAACAACCACGACTTCCTTTCCTTAGGTCGAGGCTGAATTCGGAGGCGGATGAGCCAGAGGAAGCTGATGAGGCCGTCCTGGCGATGTTTGCCACATGTAAATCCCTTCAGAAACCATGGTGGATGTAGGTGACCGACTCGAGAAAGTCACCAGTGGTGTGTCATAAGTTGAATGTTGGGGCTTGTTGGGGTATGGGATTGTTTGGCAAAATGGGAAACGAACATGAATACAACATGATAACATGAGGAATAGTCCATGTTAAATTTGTGTATTCATTATGTACTTGTAATAAACACAGATGCTATGTCGTGCATCTGTGGACAGTCAAAGCAAGTTAAACCCAAAATGTAAAATGCGGAGATTAGCTTTTAGACCAACAAATCCGTTTTTTGCATGGGGGTAAAGCCTTCGATATAATGGGGATAGGGGATCAAATGGGATACAAAGAGCAGATTTGGATCGAACTGGGAATTGCCTTTTGTTTGCCGACTTCAATGTTTCGCCATACATGCGAATATTTACAGACTAGTTAAGGATGTTCCTTTTTGCTGCTGGGTATCTAAGATAGGCCTTGATATGTAGGTCGTACACGGATAATATGGAATATGATGAGAACAAGAAACTAGGAATCGTTAAAATGGATGCTCTTTGGGCTACTACGCCCAAATCGGTGTGTTTGGAGTTTTGATGATTTTGATGGTAGTGCCCACTACCGCTTCCCATCCAGTGGGAATGATGAACCCTCGACAGATTGTTTTGAGATGGGAAACATGTCAACGCCACCAGTTCTTCCTTCAAAGGCAAGGGGTCAAAACATCCCAACATGAAGGGAATGGCCTGTGTTGAGATGTTGATCAAGCCAATCTTTGGGATGATTTATTTTTGGTGTGCAAAATCATATCATGTGAAACCAAATACTTTTTGTTATACATCGTTGTATGTCAAAAATACCGAGTCCATACCTAATCATATCATATCTACAAGGTCGGACCCCGTAGTTAGCTGAATTGGTTTAATTCAGAAGGTTACTGTAATTGGGATTTATGGTAGATACAGTATAACTATAGTTGATGGGGTTTATAAGCAAACTTGCAATTGGGGGGCCCACCTTGAACGGTGGCTGAAGACGATGTTCTATTTCCCCGTGCTGAATCGGCCGTTTGGAGAATCTAATGGGAATGTTTTTTTCTTAATTATCTGTTTATGGTCCCCTCAAGCAAATCCAAGACTATTAGTCACTATTCTACACTCATGTTTGGTTTCGACCACCCCCACCTGCCACCTCCCACCCACATTCACAGGCAACAGTGCAACGGCTGCTGATGAGCTCAGCCCCTCGCAGCAAAGTGGAGGTGCTGCCAATGATCAACCATCCCCAATAGAGGTGACCGAACACGCAACAAGAGTAAGCAATACGCAGCTCATAGATGCCTATAGTGAAAAACCATGTTGGGGTTGATAAACCAAAATACTTAAAATATTGTAGTGGATATTAATTATTTATATAATAACCGAAGGAAGTATAGAAGTCAAGCTTCCAACTTATGGGCAGGTGTAGTCAGAGGAGAGAAAGAGTCAGTAGAAAGAAGATCAAAGTGTGCGAAAAGGTAGGAAAGTTCGAAACACGCTGTTTTTCCAATGTTTTGTGGCTCCGGAGGGTCGAGAAGTAGGCTCGCTAAAGCGGCGGGTGCGGAGACACTTGGGGAGAAGGGGGGGATAAAGAATTGCACACGGCTGTGGCGCGAAGCAGATTTGAAAGTCAAAATGTTCAAAGCACCTCGGTCTCAGAGCACTTGTTGAAGGTGAGAAATCGAAAAAGTGCACCCCGTTGTGGCGCGAAGCACATTTGGAAGTCAAAATGCACAAATGCACAAGCTTCGGAGCATGTTTAGACGTTGAGATGTTCAAGACGTGGACGGCCTTGTGGCCCAAAGCAGATTTTGAAGTCAACATGTTAAAAACCTTTCGTGCTCGGAGCACTTTTGGAAGTTGAGCTGTTCAAAAGGTGCCTGTGGCTGTGGCGCGAAGGACATTCGAAGTCAAAATGCGATAGAATGTGTTAACCAAAGCGATCTTGAACATCTTTGAAGAGGATCGGTAAAGATGTTTTTGTTTTTTTTTTTCCGTGGTAGGTTCAGTACAGGAGACATGTTCATCAGAGATGTTACTGGGTCAGGGCGCTGATTTCCTGAAAAGGGCTGCATTTTAGAGCATCAAATTTTCAGGTTTGCTAAGATGTTTTTGCCTGACAGCATTGCAATGATGATTGATCTACTGCAAAGGTCCTTGTAAAGGATTATAATTTCGCAGATTTTCATGTCATTTTTAGAATAAATATTAAATAGATAATAATAGATACTATAATATATATATATAATGCTCACTCGCTGCTTCCAGGTCTTTCCTTATATGCAACCAGGTCTCTAACTTCATTGGCTCAATCAGTTCAGTGCCCCTGGTGATCTACCGGTGATTTCTCTGTAGCCAGGCTTTGTTTCAGTATATTTTTTGGTTTCCACCAATCCCACTTTTTCACATTGGATCAAGTTATTTCCTGACTTGTTTATTTCTGAAACCCAGCATTCAGCCTAGGTACATGGCACTATCCAGTGGTCCGATGATGGAGCGATTATAAATTTAGTTTCTTGGCTATCTCATTTGATGGGGGACTGATGGGGGTCACTCTTGATATCTCTTGATGTTGATGGATGTTGGAAGCTCCATTAGGGCTCAAGTCATGGATTTTGCCGACTCAGCCAACCCGTACCTCTCTCACATGGATGTGCCATTAGATGCTGGCAACAGCTGGAAGAACAAGCACCGGGTTGAGATAAAGCGGAACACTGAGAGCCTATTCTTAGTTTACAAGACTTGTTTGTTTTGTTTTTTGGCCCCAACTATGACCCCAACAGTGGCCTGAAATAACTTGAAACGATTGCCAGACTCAAACTCGGCAATTCCATCCCAGGATTCTTTTCCAGAACTCGACTCAACCTCACAGCACTCCACGTGGCTTGCCTATCCACAGCGCATGTCTATCGACGTCACTTGGCTGGTATGGCGCAAAGCTTTGGGGATATGCATTTGGTTATAACATTTTTTTTGACCTATGAAATCCTGCAAGGCAAATTTACCTTGCTCCTACGGAAATCTTGAAAGAGATGTATCCAGATGTTGGTACCAGACCACTTGTCAGAACACGTCGGGTTTCGAGACAGAAGAGCCGCAGCCGCACCCCTCAACGAAGCTGGCTCTCAATGTATGTATGAAACATGTTTGTATATGTTTGTTTCTTATGGCTAACCCTAATGTTTGTTTCCTTAAACAACTTCAATGTTTACCCATGTTAACCCCAATGTTTCAATGTTTGTTTTCTTCGATCACTTAATATCTTGCCCATGTCCTGGTTGATATATGTTTTATGTGCTAAGGACAAGCTGCAACCGGTGAGATTGGGGGCTCTGAGGGCACTATTTATACTGGGTCTCTCTTTGCTTCTCCAGGGCCTGCAACTATTCGAGGCGATATGTGTCACAAACAAATTCAAATTGTGTCAGGTTTGATTTGATGTTTAAATTTTGAACCATGAATGATGTTGTCAAACATTGTTATTTGTTTGCAGCTTATCCCCCATGGAGGTTGCCGCAACCAAGATGAATCTGATGATGATGAGGACGTCTTAGAGGTCTCCATGCAGCAGGCAGCAGGTCTAGAAGAAAAGGCTGCTGATGGCGACACTGAAGAGAAGGAGGAAGCCAAAGAGAAGGAGGAAGTCAATGAGGAAGTTCGGGAGGCAAAGGAGGAGGACGAGGAGAAGCCAACCATCACTAAGGGTACTGCAGGGCCTTTGCTGCTGCCAAAGATGGGCCATCTGGCAGCTTGCCTTTCCAAGATGTTTTTACTATGTTTTCCTTTCACTATGTTTTTCATTATTTTGATTATGTTTTCATTCCAAAATGTTAGCCCAGCATTTTTTGTTCATTTGTTCATTTGTCAGGAGCAAACAACGTTCGTTGTTGATTCCACAGAAGATGCGCAGCTATATGCATCTCGTGTGCTGGGAAAGGTTTCTACGATGTTTTGACAAGCTTTTGTTTTTGGGGTGATTTGTGTTTGAAGGTGAGGTTTTTTGAAATGACCAGGCATGAATTTTTATGGTTCATTTTTTGCATCTCAACAAAGGTTCATCGGTTGATCGTGGATGGGGACAAAGCTGGAACATGTCCTACTGTGGTGCTGGAGCAAGTGACTGAAATTGTAAAGGTTCAGTCAGCGGTCACAAAGATCTGTGAACTGATTGGGTTGCAAACCGCATAGTGGCCTGAACATGGGGTTCATGTCAGTTGAATGTGCTTCCAGAATCAAATTGCGCTGTTTGTTTTTGGAAAAGTATACATGTCAGGCTCTTGACAGACCGTGTGTGGCTACAAAAGAGAGGAAAGAATGTAAAAAGTTAATCTGGGATGGGGGTTGGGGGCGCTGGTGTTTTGATGTGTTCAGTTAGGTTGTTTGCTATTGGGCCCTTATTGGATGTTATGTTATTGTTCTTTTTCCATTTGCCATGTGTCCCACATTTTACATGTTTGCTACTTTCATACCGCTGCTTCCAATCCGAGGTTGCATTTCGAATCTATCTATCAAGCTACCTGTCAGCATTTCAGCGACTCACAGAGTTCAGAGTCAAGTGTGCTCAAAAAGTCGTGCCTACCGGTGGGTAAGAATTTTGGCTCATAATGTCAAGCAGGTCTAGGTCACCCCAAAGGGGGTTGGACAGGGTGACGCTTGAATCTTCTGGCTCCTCCAATGCCTCCGATGCTTGTAGTGACACTGATGATGGCTCGAGCTCAGCTTCATCATCTTCTACTTCATCCACTAGTTCTTTTACAGGTTCATCTGGATCATCTGGTGTGTACCAACAGGCCTACAGGGAAGTGTTTCTTGTTGAAAATTTTAGGCATCGTTTTGTTTAGGCTGGGACATGCCCCATGTTGTACTTGGTGTTGAATCCTTTCCAAGCTTGTCTTACTTGTCTTGTAATTAGCTTGACCTGGCATGCTTCTAAGGCCTGCTGATTTGGAACCTCATGTGAAGTTATCTCCCACGCAAGTGCGTTTGGTTTCTGGCAGGGGCCGACAAATGGCTTTTCAAGGTGGAATCTTGGCAATTTTCAGGGGTTTCAAGTTTGAGTCTTTAAGAGTTCTTCCTTTCAGTGTGTGGTGCGTTGTATCAATCAGGAATTACAGACTTTCTGCAAGGGCTGAAGGCACCATTGCGGATGATGTCCGACTGTTCCTGACGAAATATGATAGTACATTTTTTGTTGTTGTCAGGGGCCCAACCATTTTTGTTGGTTATAGTATTTTTGTAATTTTATAATGTGGGATGTAGTCAACATAAAAAGACAGCCAGTGTTTTGCCGACCATGCTGAGAGGTGCTGGAGCCAGCGGCTCATGGTGGGCTATGAAAGAGCTGACAAATGATCGATGCTGCATGGTCTCTCACGCCGAATGTGCACATGGAGCCCTTAAATTCTTGCTGGCCAACGTCGAGTCACAGAGGTGTTTATCATCAAGTTTAAACAATTTTGTTTTTTACAGCCAACAAGTTTAAAACAGCTTCGTTTTTTGCAGCCAATCGCACCCCAAAAAAAAGGCACACATGTTTCAGGAATGTTTCAAGATGTTGCAAGGGTTTTGCAAAGGTTGCTTGGGGTCCCTGAGGCTGTGCACTGACATGTTTGAACGAGACAGAAAGACACTGCCGAAAGATATTGGTGCTTATGATTGTGGGTTTCCATGCCAGCCATATTCATTATTGCACAACAAGTCCAAGTTGTTCGGTGAAGAGGATGCAGAAGTATTCAGAGAAACAATGCGCACAATATTTTCAGCTGAGCCATTGATTGCCGTGCTCGAAAATGTAGTGGGGATCCTTCGTGTTTGGAAGACTGTGGAGAAATATCTGGCAAAACAGAAGGCCTACCTATATACCTACCTTGTCTTGGATCCTCGCAAACTGGGTGACTGTGTGAGCCGCAGAAGGGTGTATATTTTGTTGCTGCACCGGCCACTTGATTTTTCAGAAGTGAAAGTTTCTTTTAACTCAGAAACATGATAGACCATGAAGCTAATGAGAAGTTGAAACATATGATATATTATATCATAATATATCATAATATATTAACTTGTTCAGACTATTTTTAGACCCAAAGAATAAAAGAATCATCCAACATATTTAGCCCAGGAGTGTGGTGAAAGACTACATCTCGAACAATGAGGCCCTTGACTTAGCTGCATCAACAGTTTACAAAAGGCTACACACCCTCTCGGAAGCAAACCCGAGTCTTATACCTGTTTCATCCATTCTTCTTTCCAAATTGTTTGCAAACAGGCTTTCCCAAGTGACATCAAGTGACAGTGTGAAACTGCGAGCCTTGCTCAAGCTGAGGAAGCATTTGCTATTCTCGAGTGACCATCCAATTGTGCTGGAAGATCTTGCAAGATTTCAGGAAGCTGGAAACCATGCCACAAAAACTACCAACTACAACTTGGATTGGGATGTGGAGCCTGAGGAGACTCACCCCAAATGGTTGAAAAAACATTGGAAAATGATGCAGAAACTCAAGGCCTGAATACTTAGAACTCTTTTCATGTCTTGTGTGGGACCCTTTCAAGTTTATCATTGATCATAATATGCCCCATGTTTTGCCCTGGCCCTGAAGGTATCGCCAAAGGAGCTGAAGCCCTTAACAGAATGTCGCGCTGTGGTTCATTGTCAACGTGTTCAACATGCGTTGGACATTTTCAACACAGCAGGCTCCTTCGGCGATGCCTTCATTAACACCAGCCAGAGCATCGACAGAATGGTTTCCGTAAATGGCGCAATTCCATGTATTACCCCGAGTGGCACTTACTGGTCCATGGCTCACAAGCGATACTTGACAGGCTTGGTATTTTAAAAAAGATGCTGGTTTCAAAGTTTGTTCAAAACCCTCAACATCAAAATGCCACCTCAAAACCCTTTCAGGAATCGAAAAGCTGTTGTGTCAGGGCTTTCCTGTACACAGGCTGAAATTGCAACACCTTTCAAATGCCGCTCCTTGGACTGAATTCAGTGTTTTGATTGCCACTCACAAGATTTCAATAGTTTCCCCCTTAATGCTTCTCAATGGGAAACAGGTAGATCAGATTCTAAGCAAAAAGCAACACCAAGGAAATACACAAACTGGCTGGAAATGCTTTCCATGTGAAATCAGTGGCTGCCGCATATACTTGCGCCCTATCAATGTGTGATTTGAACAAGTTCAATGCAGCAATGGAGGACCGTTTGCGAAACTGAAGGGGTTAAAAAATGTGAGCATGGGGGTTGAAATTATGTCACTTGGTCTTTGTGCGCAAAACACTGACATCCACAGCATTCACCGGCACATGATGTCACTGATTCTTGAAGTTCTCGATGCTGAAGCTGATGTTTGTCAGCTCAAGGAATCCTTGGATTGCTCACTGTTTCCATGAAATGTTCACAACCGTTCTTGTCAAAATAATATGTTGCTGCCATGGTAACTATTAAAGATTATTGAAGCACATTTACTGTTTCACAATTTCACAACTATTGTTTATCCAACACTCTTTGCGACATGTTCCCTCGCTACAATGCGCCGGATTCCGATGAGTCTGGATCTGAATCGGGCTATTCTGAATCAAGCTCTTCATCAGGCTCTTCATCGACTAGTGTTGGGTCTACATCAAAAGTTATCAACAAGATGAGGAACCTGAGTTTGAATCAAGTCTTATGCATGGATACTGCAGAAGAAGCCGGTGATCAGTCTCAAGCGGCTGCAAATGGAAAAAGTGTTGATCGCATCAAGCAATCTATGAAGAAACCCTGCTGCAACAAAAGATGCAAGAGAAATCCTATGTTCAAGACTGTGTTCGCCTTTTGCGTTGCATTCTGGTCTTTGAGCAAGAGTGGTCAAGACTGTTTGTTGCTTGGCTTTTGTGGGAAACATCATACTTAACCACCTAGATTTCAAGATTGCTTTCTACTTTGTTACATTGTAGATTGATACACTGAGGCTGTGCAGTTTACAAGCTGCCAACCACAGCCAAGAGACCGATGCGAGCGATGAAGCGCAAGAATCAGAGTCCAGCAGTGGATCATCTAACGGCGAGCCAACCTCGAGAGCCAAGTGGTTCATCGAAGGACTGGTTTGACAAAAAATATTGCAGAAAACATGCGATGTTCCCCAACAGCTGAACAGGAACCTCTGTTTGCCGAACTGCGTTCTTACAACTTCTTGGAATTGGTCGTGGGAGATTGGCTCGCACCAAAAAAAGTTTCAGAGGAGAGGATGCCAGGAAATATGGATGCCTGGCTGCAACCCTGAAGCCTATGTTAAACATTTTAAAACTCTTTCCCCCCAGAACCATGCGGTTTATCCAAAAGATGTCTCCCCAAACAACAGTTTCCCTTAGCATCCTTTGTGGAATCAGGAGCAGGGGCTAGCTGTGGCCGAGCGTCGGCCTCTGTACTGCAATTTCTCCAGCATACATATTGGAGCATAGCAGAAACTTTGCCTCATGAGCACATGAGCTTGGCTTCCAGCATTTTTTGGATTTTGTGGTATCTTCTGACACCTTTGGTTGGGAGTGTTTTTAATGAATGATCCCAACTTTCACATGCCGGTGCATGGGGGTAATCCTTTAGAAAGGTTAGACGTGGGAAAGCTGGACTTTACCACTGAGCATGGACGAGAAGTTCTGATCGATGCATTGGTCAATTCGTCCCTTTGTTCTCAACCTGAGTTCATGGAAACTTCACCTGACAAGCTGCCTAGAAGATACCTTCCACCAGGAAACTTCAGTGATCTCTACAGGTTGTACACAGCAGCTTGCCACTCTGCACAGCAGCCAGCGGCGAGCTCTGCAACTTTCTTCAGAACTTTGAGATCATCAGGATGGGGGAAGAAACTACGTCACCGTGGGAAAACCACACATGCGAAATGTTCTACTTGCCACAAGTTGAAGAACAAAATCAAGAAGGCTAGGACATTGCAAGAGCATGCGCATGCTGCCGATTTATATCTACGGCACTTAGGGGGCCAGTTCGCAGATCGGAAGGTGTATTGGGAGCTTCGCCACAGGGCTGCCCATGACAAGGATGTGATCATTGCTATCCAGGATTCTATGGACAAGAGCAAATTCAAGCTGCCGAGATACCCCTCTGGAGTGGCGCCCAAAGCTCTTGAGCAAAAGGTCAGGCCTGAGTGTGAGCTTACAGCTTGTCTTGCACATGGCCGTGGAATATTTATCTATGTAGCTGATCCAGACCTATCCTTCGGATCAGGGTGGAGCATTGAAGTATTCAGCCGAAGTTTGCAATCTGCTTGGGAATTGAACCAGAAGTCGGGGCAACCCTGGCCTAGGATCTGCAAATTATTTGCAGATAACACGCCTAAGGAGCAAGACCATGTAAAGACCAATCAAAACAGTGAAGTGGCCTTTTTGATTGTAATTGTTCTTCAACTTGTGGCACGTAGAACATGGTTTAAGTATGTTTAAGTCATGGAATGTCTGAACACCTTGGTTGAATATCATGGCTCATGATTTCAACTCCCTGGCAGGAGATCAAGAACAGTTTGTTCGACCGATTTTGCTGCACAATGACAGCAGCACAAATCTTTGACTCCATGAGTCATGAACATCTTTGTGTTGGACACACGCACGAAGATGTGGGTCTGGTACTCAGATCCCAACTATTCAAAAGATTCCAATATCACATCAAAATGTTTGACATTACTGCAAGTAGGTTCTACAGTTACCCTCTTATGTTTGCCATTGCTCCGTCTGAGACGCTCTATTTGGATTGATATCCCGATTGATTCGTGAAGGAGACGAAGATATGTCAGGGGCTCACCTGTGTCCCAATATGCCCCACAAGTTTCTCCCCAGCAATCTCCAGCCACCCCGATCTTCCAAGAGACTTGCATCACAAGCATGCTTCAGGCAGTGTCCACAGGATCTGGTATCGCCACTTGGTTGCAGCTACATTCCTTGGTTCAAAAGATGTTCAAAGCTTTTGCCAACTTATTGGAAGAAAATCACGTTGTTGCAGTGCTAAACAAAATCAGGTTTGTTGCAACTCCTTGGTTGTAAAAAGCAGGTTCCTGAACAACAAGCTGAAAGAGCACTTCAGGAAGAAGAATCTCTTCTTCCAGGCAACCTATGTGAATGTTGTACGGGATTGGACTGGCAACATGGTAAACTATGCCACAACAGGTGGTGCCTACAGAAAACGTGATGCCAAGAAAGATGACCGGCAAATTCCACACTCTTTCACTTTTGTGAGAAGAGACTGCCGCTAGATTGCCTTTCTATGTCTGTTCATGTCATGTCTTCCTGTTTACAAGTTGTATTTAAGTCATTTATAACCCCATTTATGGAATGAAAATTGATAACCCTATATTATCATTTAAAACTAATAAAAGGGTTTCAACATGTTTCAACCAGATGGTGATGTCTCAAAATGATGCGACCTTTCTTTATTTTACTATCACATGGACTCATCACTATCTAAGGTATGCCTCGACCATTGATAGAAAGGGCCACCAATCATCTTCCACGTCGATATAATGAAGATCCAAATGATGTTTTCTTGCTGATCAAGGGCTTCGTCAGCGACCGAGATATTTGCCAAGAGCCTTTGATTGTCTGGCCGGGATGCAAGTCCCAAGAAACATGGAATGGCCTTTGTCGACTTGCAAGGAACGAAGTGAACAGACACTTGGACTTAAAAACGGCAATCCTTTTCAGTCAGCCCCGGGTCACTGCTAATCTGAGCCAAGAGATGCCAAGAGTCATTTCCGATCTGAGGCATGGCATGCAGCTTAGATGACGAACGCAAAGAAGTCCCCAGAGAGATCGCCAGCTACCTCGATGAGAACTATTCCCAGTTTGGACGGGGTGTCAACTATTTGCTGCAGCTGGCCGGGGACAGGGCAGTTCAAAGAAACCAACCTCCCCATCTTTCTTTTATTGAAAATTCCAACTTTGGTGTGCAACGTGGAGGTGTGGTGTTGCAAAACCCACAGCCGCATGTCATGCACACAATGTTTGTTCGGTTCCACCGTGAAGTATAGCTGGCACTCCGCCCAAAAAAAATCGATGATTCCCAATGATGCTGTAGAACTAGGCAGCTGCTATTTAAAGGTGTTGGCAACTGCTTACTTGAAGATTGTATGACTGCAGTGTTTCAAACATCAGCCTGATTCCCAATGATGCTGTAGAACTAGGCAGCTCTTCTTTATAAAGTTGTTGGCAAGTGCTTACTTGAAGATTGTATGACTGACTGCAGTGTTTCAAAGATCAATCGAAAAGAGCCCGGTCAATGGCGACAATGTTGGATTTCTTCCGCAATGTCAAAGATGAAACCTGTGATGGAGAGCCTTGCTGGCAACTTTGTATTAGTTTAATAAACAAATCAACAGCATGAAAGCGTTCACACAGATTCAGTCGTGATATGAACCATGCCAGTGCATCTTGGTCGCCAAGGAGGGTGATCCTTCGAAGCCCATGTCAATTTCAGATCGACTCACCGAAAAAATGGAGGAGGCTAGGGTTCCTTTACATTCCTTTTCTTTTTTGTCATTCAAGAAAGATTTCCTCCAACCCTGTCTCAGATTAGCTCCAAGATCAACATGGGGCGATGGCTATGGGAGTCTTTGGGATCTGATGAAGGGAAGAAAGCGTTCATCCTAGTGCCTTGGTTCATCAAGTCACCCAATTTCATCGTATCAAATTGAAAAAGAGCTGAGTTTATTATCGAACTTGGACTGCGATCTGTTTCATTAGGCCATGTCTTCGACCTTTGCTTTGGGCTGTGTGAATTGCTTGGTGGCCAGCCATGCTCAGCCAATATTGCACTCAGTGCCGGTGGCTTCAAAGGAATTCCATTTGTCTCCGTGGAACTTTGACTTTTCCGAGCGATCGAAGTATGGGGAGAAGGGAAGGTTTCCGACCAACCTTCAATTCAAGGCCCATTTCCAGTCCTTCCTCCGCTCCGGGTATGAAGCTCACAGGGAGCCCGTCGATGTGCGCTTTCCAGCTGGCGCTGATGTCATCGAGCCTTTCTCAGTGCAGTTCGTGGATGGTCAGAATAAGATGCTGATCATCCAAACGATCTTAGCATTGCTTGAAGTGTGTGATTTTTGGATGGTCAAAATTTGATTGCGGTAAATCTTTTATGTTTTCCTGATTTGATCTTTGTTGGCAGGAAATCCCCAAAACTAGCCAAATACCAAAAACCTTTAGCAAACATCTCAGGACATCAAGGCAAGTGAGATTGAGCAAGATGCTCACTTTACAGCGGTGCTGGCATCATTCCGCTACATCCGGTGCAATTTCACAAAGCATGTGCGGGAGGAGCAGTATGTCTATGAATCTCTGAGCCCTTCAACCCAATTATATTGTTGATAAAATATGATTAAAAAATCATCGCAAATTCTTGGCACTTTATACATTCTCATACCCACTTCTAAAACAACTAAGGTCTGGCAACCCGACGGTCTGAGAAACTCAAGCCCTCTTGCTTGGATTTTGTCTTGATCTTCCGAGAAGCTTCAAGGATCAAGAGGTCGGCCTCGCCGCAAATGAGCCTGCGAGACTGTGTTTGGGCATCTGTGGCTGAGTACAACAGGTCGGTCCAAAAGGACTGCATGGGGCAATAAAGTTTTGTTTTGTTTCTTTAATGTACTATGTTATTTTATAGCATGTAATCAATATTATATAATAATAAACTAAAATAAATAGAATAGAAGACTATGTTACTGACATTATAGAATATTATATGGCATATTATATACTTAGCATATAACTACATACAGTAGTATATTATAGCATTGTTTCAGTGTGTCATTGTCATTCACCCCCTGAGAACTGGAGAGTCAAAGATGACATTCGCCGTCTTACATACAACTTGATGCGATGCCCTGCAGAGATTTTGGACATTATCGGCCACATGTACGAGTTCACCAAGCCCGAGATTGCAGGCCTGTGGTTGCTATAAATTTTGTGTTATCTTTTTTGAAGGGTCCCACACTTCTTGGAATCTCTTCCCTGTCAGCTATGTGCATTGAGAACTTGGAGGGTGACTACTACATTCCCGGATCGATCCCCGATGGTGCTGAAGGAATTTGGAAGGAAGCCCAGGCGTGGTCAAGGTTGAAAACAATCAATAGTTGAAAACAATGTCATGTTTTTTATTTAGATCATTTTAGATCATACTTGATTTCCTTCTTGTGCGACAGGAAGCGACTGAATCATCGGTGGTCATGTGGGCAAACCGTGTGATGTCGGACTACAACCGCAAAGCTCCCAAGAATGCCAGTGCGAAGCAAAAGGTTGGGTTGGTGGTTGGGGTCCAAATTCATTGAATCTCCAAACTGAATGTGTTCAATTATTGAAAAGTTCTTTGAAAACCCTGAACAGAAATTGGCTCAGCGTGATGCATCAGCAATGCAAGACATCTTCTCCCTGTCCTGCTTCATGAGCTGGCTGCTCCCGAAGATGGAGGTCCAACTTGGAAGAAATTCTTCCATTCTCGAGAAGATCAAAGAGATGTGGGATCTTGGGTTCCTTGGCTCTGGAGCAGCACTGTGGTGAGAGGGCTATTGAAAATCAAAAAACCACATGACACACAGATGTTGTTACCCAAGCCTTGGAAATCCAGTGGAATTTAAATTCCGCAGCACAGATTACATATGTTGGTATGGGTGCATTACTGGGACAAGTTACCTTTTTTGGGTGGTTGGTTTTCCTCATATCCAAAACCTTGACTTTGTGCTGTGGAATTTAAATTCCGCTGGATTCCCAAGCCCAAATTTGGGATGCTGTGTTGTTCAGCCTTTTTCTGCTTTTCACTACTTTCTATGACTCCACAGGACTCCACAAAATGAAAAAATGTGGGATAATTGCTGGATGGTATCCCATAGAAACCGCAGGACTTTGGTAGAGTGGCTAAACAAAAACCACAGCACTCCCAGGCAGTGGCTAGAAAAAAACGCAGGACTTTGGGAGATAGGTTAGAAAAAACCGCAGGACTCTGGGACAAGGGATAAAAAAAACCGCAGGACTCAAGGACAAAGGATAAAAAAAACCGCAGGACTCTGGGAGATAGGGAAAAAAAACACAGCACTCCCAGGCAGTGGCTAGAAAAAACCGCAGGACTTTGGGAGATAAGATTAAAAAAAACCGCAGGACTTTGGGAGATAGGATTTAAAAAACCGCAGGACTCTGGGACAAGGGATTTAAAAAACCGCAGGACTCAAGGACAAGGGATAAAAAAACCGCAGGACTTTGGGAGATAGGATTAAAAAAACCGCAGGACTCTGGGACAAGGGATTTAAAAAACCGCAGGACTCTAGGAGAGGAAGTTCAAAAAACCACAGCACTCCCAGGCAGTGGCTAGAAAAAAACCGCATGACTTTGGGAGATGAACTTAAACAAAAAACACAGCACTTTCAACCAAATTAAATGCAATCACTTTCAAAACATCCACTGCTGGTGGTGGTAGGTTTTCCTCAATGATTCTGCCTGGAAAAGTCACAACTAAGAAAGGCAAAGTTGGCTCACACCGAATTCATGTGTTTTCTTTTCAATGCAGCAATCTGTGCACACCTCTCTCACACACACACCTTATATTTGAATGAAAGTCACAAGATGGACATGGACTTGCCTCAATTGGTACTATTTAGGCTGCCACAAGTCATTTTCACAACGATGACATGTTTTCAGCCCCCGCCATGCATGTTCTTGCATGTGAGGTATTCCTGTTAAATTGTTCAGCGTAAAGTATGGTTTTCGGGATTTTCCCTTGGGCCCCCAACTTGGGAAAATATCCCCAATGAAAATACTTGCTCCATTAACTGTGTGTTTATGTTGCAGTCCAATTTGGAACCATTTTGGGATTCATGTTGGGGTCAATCTTGGAACATTTTGGAATACGATATATATCATAATATGATAATATAATATGTCGATATGCCCAGATTGCTCTAATTATCCCAAGGCTTTCCAGGATAAAAAAGTAGGGAACCACTCCCATTTCAAAGGATCTTGTGATTTTAAAGGTAATTTGTTGGGGGTACATTTTACTTCCGGGTAAAGAACACCCTTCAAGGTTGCGATATCCTGTTGATTTTTGGACCTTTCTTGAAGTTTGTTGGATTCATTGGAAGGTGGTTCAATATTGACCAGTATAAAAATCATGTCCCCATCCCCATTTAGTATTGCCCTTGATCTCCACAAGATGCAGCCAAGTGAAACCTTAAGATACCATAACATCTTCTCCCATCCTGCACCAACGCTGCTGTCACTAAGGGCTCTAGACTCAGAACTACGAGCTCACATCAGAGGAAACGACCCTGGATTTGACCTGACCAAGTTGGCGTTTTACGCAGAGGCGACTGGATCAGTGCAAGAGGACCATATCTTGGAAGGACAAAGCGCGGTATCGAATGCCAGGAAGGCATCGCTCCAAGCAGCTTTTAACCTATTCAAGACATCGCTTGACAATGACCATGTCTTGCACGAGCGTCACATGGCCGTAGCAAAAAGCGATGAAGTGCGTGCGCGCAGCTCTGCCCTGGCTTCTTTGGAGGCAAGGGGTGCCCTGCGTTTTACTTTTCAAAAGTTTTTGGAAACATGTCAACTTTCAATCCATGTTTGGTTGCAACCGTGCCCCTGGCAGAAAATGCACACTACAGCTTGGGGCTTGGTGCAAGAGTTTGCAACAAGCAGCCTGCCAACTTGGAACGTAACTCCCAAGAAGCAAGGCCTGTCATTGTCAAAAACGATAGAAACTGGTTTGAACATAGTTGGAAACACTCACTGTCACTTTAAAGTCAGTTTGATGGATCATTTGCCCTTGGCGCCTTTGGTAACTAAATCAGTTCTATTTGGTTGTTTTTGCTGCTTTGCTTGCTGCAGAATGTTTGCAAGAAAAAATCGTTTAAATCTGCGTGGTCCTGCCAAAGGTTTCTGGAGCGATAGCTAAAGCATTTCAAAGATGGATAGATAAGATATCTTTAGTCGCAGGGAATAAAATACAACTCACTTTTATCTTTTAATAATCTATGATTATTCATGTTGCTTCATGGGGGGTTTAAAACACACTCTGACCCTGTTGCAGATGGAGAGAAGGACAAGACCACATCTGCCATCGCTGCGAAGGTGACACCGTGGTTGCATGAGACTCTGCAGGGGTATGGTGCTGGTATGAGGAGAATGGAGTCAGAGAGGTTGATTGGATGGTGCAGCTATGTGACTGCTGGTGTGCTCAGCGCTGGCAGACTTGAGTTCACTGTCAACATGTTGACCCAAATGGCTCATTCGCATCCAAAGAACTTTGTGGGAGTTGTCCTTCTCCCCAACAGGTCAGGGGATTTGAGGACACCGATCAAGTAGCTTATCTAAATTAATGATGTTGATGTTCTTCGCTGTCATTCTTTGACTGCTGGAGCCAACATATGTTCCATGTTGATTTTGTTTTTTTTCCTGTGGCTAATGTTTGCATAAAATGTTGCTGGGAACTGTTCAGACACAAGCGACCCAGGCAAGAGAAGAAGGAAGAAGACGATGACATGGATGACAAAGACCCAGGACAAAAAATATCAAAACATGAATCCGGGTTGGAAATGAACCTATTTTGTTTCACTGCATCACTTTGTCATTTTCAACTCTTGGTGTAAAAACACTGCAGGAACAGTGGACGCAACCAATTTCCTGGACGAAGAAGACGACAAGGAGCAAGGGTCGGACTCAGCAGAGGCAGTGCTGCATGAGTTCATCTACAGGCTGAAGAACTATTTTCTGGAGTCTGATCGTTGCCTCCGCGTAACTTGATTATTGTTGTCAATGTGTTTTAGCAATATCATCAGGAATAACCAGACTGAACAAACCAGTTACTAATATCAAACTCTTGTTTCTGCAACCTTTGGCCACTCAAGGTCAAGCACTGCACACTTGTGTTTGATGAATCCACCGTGTATGGAGTGAGAAATGGGTGCCATCAATGCCTTCTCATTACATCGATGGACAAGCACAATGTGTACTGGAAATCCAAAGCGTGGCGTACCGGAGTGATCCATGGCGCCTCGATGTTGAGCAGGGCTGACATGGTCAAGGTCGAAAAGCCCTTGAAAGGTTTCGCCTCAGATGCCAGGTTGACACAAGTGCAAGAGCTCAAGCAGGCAGGACCTATTGAAAGTTGAAATGTCTGTTTGAATCCATATTCCATGATATATTGGACAATTTTTGCGATACTAAATTGAAACATGTGTGCTGGTTCCCCCAACCGTTGATTTTTTTTACGAATGCAAATGAATGCAATATCGCTAGCAAATGACATTTATTACAAAAAACGGCTCTCGACCCTTTTTATAAATACACAGAATTTCAAGTTGAGTGCATTCCCCTGCCAGCACTTGGCCGGCTCCAGCATCGTTGAGAAGTTTGTGACCAACCTTTGCGACCCTTCTGAGAACTTCAATGTCATCTTGGACATGCTTGGCTATGATGGGTGGCCACACTTCCCACGAGACTTCATTTGTTGGGGAGGTCATTGCCAACAAAATCTTCAGCAGTGCCAGGGATGGGGCTTTGAAGATCCCTGGCTTCCCTGACTTCTTGACTTTGGTGAAGGACTTGAAGAACCGCAATGTGTCAACATCCGCTCCCCAGTACAATGTTTGCACACCCCTGCCAGATGGCACACTGGTTGTGAAATCTGCCATCATCCAGCTTTGGACAGAGAAGAATGAATCATTCCGGGATGAGGCTGTTCCTTGGCTGAGTATCATTGGTTTACTATGGTTTACTTTTTGGGGAAATGTTTTTAATGTTGCCATAAATCTGTTGGTGTAATCAACTGAGCCACCCATATTCTTGCCAAGTTGCAACTCATCCGAATCATATCGAATCATTGTGAGGAAGCCCTCATCAAAGACCACAATGACCGATTCAATCCTCGGGGAGTCAAGCGAGGGGGGGATGCATCCGATTCCGAAAGGGCACCGGAAGAGCCAGCGGCAAAGAAACTTTGTGTTGACAAAACCATGGCCCTCACTGATGAAGCTTTGATCGAGGAGAAGTTTCTCGGCCCATGTCCCAAAAACAATCCTTGGATAACCACTACAAACTCAACAGTGTTTCAAACTTATTCAAACTTCACCCCAAGAAATATGCGATACATGTTCTCACTGACTGGTTTTGGGCTTGGCCATTGGGGGTAGGTTCAACATGCCCATGTGGGTTGACACTCCCTTGTGTGTTTTCTAAACAAACTACAGGACAATCAATCAATCAATCAATCAATCAATCAAAAGTAGTTACAGCTAGTTTCTAGTTTCTTTTGCGGCCACCAGGGTGACTATGACGCTGGGCAACTGCAAGCTCATCCTAGACAAGAAGGAAGAAGTCTTGTGGATTGGGCCTGAAAAGCCTGGTCAGGCAATTGAAGTCCCTCCGAAAATCGAACTCTGGGGATTTGGTTCCGGAGACTTTGCCATGAGCAACGATACTTGGTTTCGATAGAATTTCATTTCTTCAAAAGATACACTTGAATGAAGGCTGTGGGCCCACTGACAACTTGCTGCTACCAGGAAGCGACTGACATCATGAACGACAGCAGCAAATCGGGCAGATGGGTCGCATATCTCATCAAATCCTTGGATGACTACATCATCGCAGAGGCTGACAAGAAGCTCGGAGACCATGTCAAAGGTCTGAGCATCTTCAACAAGGCCCACCCACATCTTCAAAAAACTCTTATTTTTTGGGGGAGGCATCACCAAAGTAGACAGTAAACATGATCCATTGTCAGGGCTTTGGTACTGTACCCATTTATGGAAAACACAATCGAAATCCAAAATTTGTTCCTCAATTCTCCAACCTGAAAGCACACACATTGTTTAGCTATCGCCTTCTAGTAAATCAACAAATCAACATAGATACCGCGAATCAAGGTGAACAACTACTGATAGACCATTCTTTGGGCAAAACGTTTATATCTATGCTGATACCCTGGATTCTTTCTGAATATCCATGTGATGAAACTTAGTGTGTTCTTTGTCCATGCATGCCATTCCATGTGATGTCCAGGTGATGAAAATCAGCGAACTTCTTCATGCTCTTGAGAATGCTGGGGAGATTGGTGTGACAATCGCGCTTCACTCCATCGATGGTTCGGTGGTGAGCCGGGCGAAGCCTTGCTGCTTTGTCTTGGATGCTCCCAAGGAGAAGACTTTGCAGAAGAAGGCCAGTACAAAACTGGGGATAAGTTCCAAATGTCAAAAAATGGATTAAGAAAATATAGAATCAGAGTATATGCCAGAGTATATGTCAGAGTATATGTCAGAGTATATGTCAGAGTACATATGTCAGAGTATATGTCAGCAACCTTGCAGGTTGGTGCAGTCCCTACTTTTGGGGCGCGATTGAACATGGCGAAGGTTCGCAGTTGTCCCAACTTCACGATCTGCTGGCGGGTCAGGTGCCATGGCTGGCTGTGTCAAACTTACTGGAACCGCTTCTCAAAGAATAATGAGGATTGGCGCACTGTTTACTAGTAAGATGAATTCCGATTGTAGTTTCATCTAACTCATGGAATGCCATTGTATGGATTTCTCTTGTGGTTCTGTTGGCCGTCGAAACCCAGTCCATTGTGATTTTTTGTTGGCATCAAGAACCGCAAGATTTTCTTTTTCCCACCTGTAAAGGTTGTTGGCATCAAGGGGGTTCAGTCTCTAATCTCTAGTTGCATCATTGCATACCACTGCAACCTATTGTAGGTGGGATGTGCAGGGAAGCTATTCAGATCTTTTCTATTCCCAACATCCGATACATTTAAGGTACCTACCCATATTAATTCCCTTCAACAAACTTTGCAGGGCAACTAATATTGTTCCCAGCATCCAATGCTTGCAGCACAACTATTGTATAATAACGATCCCCAAATTCCATATTGGCCCCAATAGCCAACATGGGTTTGCCAGAAGATGATGTTTCCCTAAAATTGAATGGTTGATCAACATACACTAGCCCCTTTGTTCAACAAGCCCCATTCTTTCAAATCCACACTGACCCAACTCTCGAATTCAGGCTGCAAAGCAACGGTGAAGGGGCCAAGGAGATCACTCCAATTCGCCCAGTTGCCATTCTTCCTGGTGGGATTTCGTGCGAGGCTGACAAGTTTTACCGTTTGATGTGAGTTCATGCAGGGGCCATGCGTATTTTCTGGGTTGACCTTATTCTTGAACCTAAAAAAATATTAAAATATTATGCATTCTGTAAACCTGTGTCGCACATATTATGGTTAATGTTAAGGTTCAATAAATTACAATGTGTAATTATGTTCAATTATTGTTACAGGACGTATGCTGGCCACCTGATTTGGGGTTTGGGGCTGGCCCACACCTCACACTTATCATTGACTGAAATGTCAGTGCCCAAACAGTGTGCATTGTGTGTGCGGCGATCCTTTGGCGCTATGCCATGCTGAAAGCTTTGGAAACGCAACCGAAGAACTCCTTTGGGAATCTTTGGGAAAAAGTGTCAGGGCTGTTGTTTTTGGAATGCCAGCACAAAGTATCGCAGCTGCATGCCACAAACTGGCATCAAAAAGATTCGAAAAGTATCAGCTTTTTTGCAAGGATTTTGGTTCAAAGCAAGGCCAAAGAACTTGACTGTCCCTGACCGTAACCAATCTTGGTTTTCGTTGGGGGCATGGCTTCGTTTTCAGTGTCTGAATCTTCTGATGATGATGACGTTCCTTGCAGCCAAGCTGGGAACATCCAGATTAGCAGGAAGTTCAGTGTTTCTGACTACAGCGACTTGCTAGCAGAAGCTTCACCGACGACAAGGCCAAGGGCACAGCAATCCGCATCAGCTCGCAGTGACTTGGAATATATTTTCTGGTTGACTTTTTTGGCAGTTTTCCCCAAACGACCAGGTACCACATACTAGGTGAGCCATGTAGTTTTTTCCAAATTGTTTTTTGGGCACCCAGGTAGCACAGCATCAGCAACACCAGCGTTTGGACGTGTGGCTTTGAACAGCTCTTCAGACTCTACCGACAAGAATGCTGAGAAGGAGAAGGACAAGGAGAAGGAAACGAAGAAAGGAAAAGACACCAAAGAAAAGGAGACAAAGAAAAGTAAGAAGGAAAAAAAAGATGATGGAAGAGAGAAGAAGAAACGCAAACAGGACGAAGACCTTGCTGATGCAACGTTCAATGCCATCGAGGATTCTGATGATGAGGCCGACCCAGATCCTGAAGGAGAGAGACCTTCGACGAAACCTCAAAAGAAACCAGCCGCCAAGTCAACAAAGACAACAAAGACCACAAAAGAAGTGAAAAAAGACACCAAGAAGGAAAAGAAAAGCCGAGGCAAAAAGAAGGATGACCATGTCCCAGGTGATGATGAAGAAAGTCAGCCGACTGCCTTTGAAGAGACTGTCTCATCGCTTTCCCTCCGTGAGATTGCAGACATGGCAGAGAACCGAAAGATGAAGCACGATCAGGACGCATGTTCGGGAAATGATGACAAATCATGATGATGATGATGATGATGATGGTGATGGTTGTGATGGCGATGGTGATGGCGATGGTGATGGTGATGGTGGTTGATGATTATAATGATTATGATTATTGATATTGATGATGATGATGATGATGTTGATGATGATGATGATTACAATAATTAATTACTATTATTTATTATTTGATGATGATGATGATGGTGATGATGATGGTCATGATGATGATGGTGGGTGGTGGTGGTGGTGGTGATGATGATGATGTTGATGATGCTAATGACGATTTCGATGATGATGATGATGATGATGATGATGATGATGACGATTGTGATGATGATGATGATGATGATGATGATGATGGTGGTGATAGTGATGGTGATGGTGATGATCAAGATGATCATGATGATTATGGTGATGATGGTGATGATGGTGATGATGGTGGTGGGGTCAAAATAAAACCACAATTATGCATACCATTTGATCATCGGATTTTCCTCAGGTATTCCAGGGGTCTAATTTTACATTCGCATCCTTTCAGGATGAGGATTCCGAGGAGACCCTGATCCTGGGCGAGCAGGACACAGAGGAAGAACCAGCTCCTGTCTGTGCTAAGGAGTGGGAACATACTTTTGGGCATCTACAAGATTTTGAAATCTCATGAAGAAAGAGGACAATGTTTGGGACCGACAGAGATTAACATGAAACATCAAAACACAACCAACTTATTCAGAAAACATGGTATCGATACAAGTGGACTTTCAAGTGGACTCAAAGGCAAGCAAACCATTTTCACTCAACTTTTGGAGTTCCAGGACGAGAACCAGAGCCAAGATCCCCCAGTAGCAACCCCATGCCGAAGCAGCGCAGTGATCCCAAAGGCCAGGGTCATGTTCTCATTTTTTTTGTTTTCAGCAGTACCACCTACACTGAACAGGTTGAAGCTGCAGAGAACGATCGCATGAGGCTTCAGCAATCCCTTGGACTTTCTGTTCGCCCAGGGTTTCAGATCCCTTTGGAAGTCTTACAGAAGACACGCAGGAAGAGGGCCCAAAACGCAGCGCAGTTGGCAATCTTCAAGCAGATCGAGGATGAGATTTGGAACAAGAACAAGAGACAAAAGCAGCAAAAAGTTCATACTTCCACTTCCGCGCATGCAGCCAAAAGACAGGTGGGCAATACCATCATGGTAATAAACAGCATGAACAAATTTTGTAGGCCCAAGATGTGTTTGAGAGAGAGAGAGAGATTTACAGTATATTATCATTCATGTAACATGTATATAGTACGATCCAATATGAGAAGAATAATATTAAGCAATGATATGTTATGTGCTAGTCTTAGTGCATACATGTCTTCATTCTGCACTTATTCATTCTGCACTTATACCTTGCAGCCCTTTAGGAGAAGAAACCAGAAGAGAAGCAGGATGTCCCAAAGGAGAAGAAACTTGAAGAGAAGAAGGAGATGTCGGATGAAAAGAAACCGGAAGAGAAGAAGGATATCCCAGAGGAAAAGAAACTTGAAGAGAAGGAGATGTCGGAGGAGAAGAAACCGGAAGAGGGGAAGGAGATGCCGGACGAGAAGAAACCGGAAGAGAGGAAGGATATCCCAGAGGAAAAGAAACTTGAAAAGAAGGAGATGCCGGAGGTGAAGAAACCGGAAGAGAGGAAGGATGTCCCAGAGGAAAAGAAACTTGAAAAGAAGGAGATGCCGGAAGAGAAGAAACCGGAAGAGAGGAAGGATGTCCCAGAGGAAAAGAAACTTGAGAAGAAGAAGGAGATGCCGGAAGAGAAGAAACCGGAAGAGAGGAAGGATGTCCCAGAGGAAAAGAAACTTCAAAAGAAGAAGGAGATGCCGGAAGAGAAGAAACCGGAAGAGAGGAAGGATGTCCCAAAGGAAAAGAAACCTCAAAAGAAGAAGGAGATGCTGGAAGAGAAGAAACCGGAAGAGAGGAAGGATGTCCCAAAGGAAAAGAAACCTCAAAAGAAGAAGGAGGTCCCAGCCGAGACCACCAAGAAGAGCCTTGCAGCAAAGCCCACCAAGAGTGGCAAGAAACCTAAGAAGGTGTCTGCAGCCGAGCCGAAGAAACCTATGGAACTCGAGCCTGACAATGGTGGCAAACCTGCCGATCAGGATGGCAAAGTGATGGAAAAGTCTGGTCCAAAAATGGCCCTTCACCCTGCAGACAAATGTGAGACAGACAAGATCCCTGCAGCCAATGCCTCAAAGAGTGGCAGCAAAGCTGTCAGCAAACCTGAGACCGTCGACAGTAAGGAGATCAAAGAGCCCAAATGCAGTGAGATCAAGAACAGCGAGGATGCCAGAAAGATTTTGCCTGGCGTTCCGTCCACCGTGCCCAAGCCAAAGGTAAAGACCGCAGCAAAGTCGAAGTCAAGGAACACAGCAAAACCGAATGTGTCCAAGCCCAGTTCGTCCACTCCCAAAGTTTTGAAAACGACTACAAAGACTTCAAAGAAAGAAACCATGGAGAAGGATTCTATTGAGAAGAAGCTCCACTGTGTTTCCAAGCTACTATTAGATTTTTGTGGCATTTTTTTGGCAAGTAGAACCATTTTCCCCTTTGTGAAGTTTTCAACATCCTAAACGTTCAAGCTTTCCAGAACAACCAGGTGTACTGTGCAGCCCAGAAAGATGCCAAAGCCCAAGGCATGTCCAAAGAGGATGCAGCTGGTGCTGGCCAGGCAGCTCGCAAAAAGTGTCTGGTCTTGTGATGTTTATGTATCAATTGTTTTTTTAAAATTTTTCGGTGAGATGGGACAACAATTACTATTTTTGGTGAGTAAGTCTCCCCAAAAAATAACCAAAAGAAATTAGGTTGTTAAGCCTACCTTCCAACACTCCAAGGTGGATCATGGACTATGGACCGACTGACAACGCTGTGATTCAGAAATGGCTTAAAAAATTCGAAGCCTAAATGTCAGGAAATCTGACACCAAAGGGGGGTGAGCCACAGCCACTACTAGGGGCTGTGTTGCTGGATCCAATCTAGTCTTTAGCTGGATGTTGAAGCTCAATCCATCCACCGCACAAGTGGCAAAAAAAGGCATGCTTTGTGCTTGATACTGATTCCACAAGTTATTTGATTTTTGGATTTTGGCCACCAGTCTGACATCTATCCACATCTAAGGTTGGTTTGATCTCTTTCAGCTGAGGGGCGGTTGCATGGTGTCGCACCATCACCAGCATCTTCACCAGAAATTCCAGCCATTGCTACGCAATCAAACCAAGTTTGGTCAAAGTAATTTAATTGTTTCTAGTGATGCAGTCTTCGAAAGATGAAAAACTTTGAAGCCAACGCATGAACTTGAAACATGAAACCCATGGATGACTTAGTGATGTGTCACATTGAGACTGAAAAGCCATGAGCGACAGAAAAGTGCTCAGTCCCCAGCAGCATGGATCACAAGGACCCAGTTCCATTTGAGTAAGGTTCCACAAACCATGCCCTGCCATTATATATATAAATAAATAGATATATATATATACATCAAATTAAGTGCAAAAAAATGTAAATATTTGAATGTCAAATATCATATTCCTCACTGGCGGTAGCCATTGGCGCATCGCGCAACCGAGCGCCCAGGTGGACGGCGGAGATCATCCCATGATGCCCAAATGGTTGCGACCGATGAGTCGGCGATTGCAGACCATAGACACTTCCACGACTTCGAACGCCGGGACAAGGGAGGGCTGTAACATCCCATGGATAAAGATGGATATTCATGGTTTCTGGTGGATTGTTTTTCTACCATCCTCACAATCAACATAGAGCCTCCCAAATAGGGATCAGGAAAATTACAGTCCTTTTACAAATAATGATTCTCACCATTTGTCATGTCGGTGGGGCGGAGTTTTTTCCGGATTTCAACAATTTATGGGGATGCTTTAGCAAAAATATATTTTGCCAAGGATACAATGAAAATGTGGGGTTAAATCATTTGAATCCATCAAAATATTCGGGATGGAACCAATATCCGGGATGAGGATTTCCCCAATGTGTCAGTGGATCCAAATACTTTAAAACATCTACAGGAAACGATTGAAACCCTTGTTTTTTGTCATTCATAATATGTGGTTTTCAAATGTTTTCAATGGTTTTCTGTAATTTGATCCTTTATTAACCAGTTCTGGGATGTTTGATATGATTTATATTGCTTGAGTATGTGGGTCTGAATCGGAAACTCTGGGGTGTCCTATATATATATATATTTTCCATCACGCCCAAGCTGGGGGTCACAAGGATATCATATCAGGTTCTTAAGATCAAAGGTTTCGCCCAGCTGGCTGGCTACAGTTGCGGTTGCTGTTTTATTATCAATCAAATTTCCAGTTTTGCTTTTGTCCTGGATAGTCAGAAATTCAAGCTCCGAGGGTCGGTTTTGAAACGCTCACCACAGCAGTCACCCAGGAAACTTGTGATGAAGGTGTGTTCACAGAACAGGACTGCTAGGGTTGCGTCCTGGTGTTTAGAGGAATATACAACGTTGGTAGGAACAGAACCACATGTGTTGCAACATGCTACTTGGATCTACTTGGTATGGAACCAGTCTGCTTCGGACATTTCAGTAGGTTCTAGCCAGATGACATCAATGTCTATTTGGGGTACATCCCAACCGGCGGTTTCAAGAAGGGCAAAGGACTCCCTCCAGGAGCACTAGAAGATCTAGAAGGCCAATTCCCAGATTCAAACTCCTGATTGGTGGTTTTAAGAATGCTTGAAATCATTTTTTGATGAACCCAATCATGTTTCATGCTGATTCTGATGAATATCTTCAGGATTCAACCCACACCAGGTGACCCGTTGAAGCAGAAGTGTGTTTATTTAGGGCAACCACCGGCAGCAACTATCGGATAGTAGTTTGTTAACCCCCGATGATATTTGAGTAAACTTCAAGCACGTGGAAATCGGTCAACTGGCCATGGAGGAACCCCCAAAGCCCAAGAATTCCCTATTGGCGGGCCTCCAGCTGAACTGTCTGGTCGGCAGCTGCCATGAGTTATAAATGCCCCGAATTGGGTATGGAATGTCTCAAAACTACTGACTAGAGCAGTGTTTGTTACACCGTCGTAACATGGTTAACAATGATAATACCCAAATCAGATGGTTTCACATGTGGCTCTAGATCCTTGGAATAGTCTGCCTTTTGTGGCTCCTTAAAGTCAAAGGATGGAACATCTACAGGAAACCATGTTTTTAGCCTTGAGGGGTACTGTAATTCCAGTAAATTATTTTTTAAACCAACATGACAATTCAACTGTAGATAGTGTATCCACCATAAATCCGACAGTTATTGGAGTTATAAAAGCCAACAGCAACCTGATATAAACTAACCGCAAAATAGTTATTTGTGGTGATTAAATGCATCATTTTCAGAGTGTAAATCCGTTTTTTCAATTTTAACAACTATACGTCTATACGTCTATATAATCTTTAAGCATTTGTATACTATACTATAAATCCCATTTTAGTCCTATCTCGGTGGCAGGAGACGTCCTGTCTGGACGGTGGCGAGTACGGTGCCTGTTACAACTGCCACGCGCTGGAGGTAACGACGCGCAGGCAATGTTGGCGAGGCCGCTCTGGACCTGTAGGCGCCCGACCCTGGGAATTCGTGCGGCTGCTGTGAACATCTCGAGATTTCGATGGGAAGTTCACCCATCCCCAATTAACCTACATAGCCTCTAGGTTCAGCGAATTCGTTAAGTTACCAGTGAAGTTACGGAATTCGATTTCGGGAACCCATCGAGGCGGTTCTCCATTGTGGTTTGAGATCTTTGAGGTCAGGCTTGTCACCGTTATGATTCACCATAGCAATGCTCGCTCCATGCTGCTGGAATCTTAACCAACATCTGCCCCAACAATGACCCGAATCCCATATAATCCCTTCACCCTAATATTAAGCGTCCCCCCCAAATCATAAAATCCTAGGGGTAGTTTTATTATTGGGGGGTATTTATTATTTTGGGGGAGAAGCTTCCCCCTAATAATAGATTTAAGACCTTGATAAAGACAACTTAAAAAATCTAAAAAAATAATAACATCAATTAAATTCCCTGTTATATCCTTTATAATCTAATTAAAATATTGCCAAAAATTGGATTTTGAAGCTTTCCCTGATATTAGATTTAAAATCTTAATTAAAAAAACTTAAATTTTCGATTAACACAAACGGACCCTAATAAAAAAGAATGGGGTTAACTAGTCTTTATTATTAAGGGGGTAGAACCTTCAAATGGACCTTGATTTTTAATGATGTTTAAATTGTGCTCTAAAGGGGATCAATTAAAAGTCAACTTGACCAATCTGAACTGTCCAAAAAAATAATAATCTGGGGATATCTGGGGTAATTAGTTGTTATTATTTAGGGGCCGGTTAGTCATAGGGAGAATGGAGTATGGAGGATCTGGGGTGAAATTCATTGGATTCGAATGCGGCTTTGACTAATGGGACGAGGTTGATTTTAAAACGAAGCAACGGGGATTTGATCATCAAACGAGGTGCCCCATACTTAGCTCAGTTGGTTTAATCAATGTACAACTACGCTAGGGTGTGTTGGTATATAGGGACAACTGGCTGATGGCGACCCCAGCATTTAGCGGGATATTGCTAAGGCTGCTAAGGGTATTTTGGTGGATAAGTCAGGAACTATAATCGAAAGTTGGATGATAGCTTCGCTCCAGTAATCAAACGTGGCGCCATGGTAAATTCACCATTTATAATCATTTATATAGATGTGTCTCCCGTTAAAATCCTTTATTTATAAGGTGATGTTCCATTGTCATGTTTGATTACCAGAGGTTGAATCAACTGGTGCGGGCAGGAATTTCCAGGATAGAGTTGATGATACAATGGTCGATATCGACAGGATTCTTCGCAAAGAGCAGTGGATAATATTAGCCTCCGGTAAACTAACAGTTTGCTAAGGAAAATGACCATAGAAATACTTGATTTACCCATTAATAGCATGGTGATTTTCTATCGTTATGTAAACGTTTACCAGAGGGTAAGGGAGCTAACACCACGATCACATGGCTATGGCTGCTATGTCTCTGTTTTCTCCGATCCGCACGCATGACGCGCTGTCTTGAGTTTGTCGCAAATGTTGCACGTCGCAACAACGGAATTTGGTCAGAGCAAGACTGATGTGCCAAATCAACCCTCAACACCCATCAAAGATTTTTTCTTTGCTCTGACAGCTTACTTTCAGGATCTGACTTTACAAAAGAAATGGGGGTTTCAGCTTTCATCAGAGACTGATGTCCTGAGATTTGGGCGCTGTTCACACCTCCCAACGATGGTTAAAACGAGAAAGTTCTGGCGTCCATTCTTAGAATACCTGATGATTGAGCCATTCTCAAGTTACCATCGGGTTATTTGCCCCATCGGGGACGACGTCCCCACCGTTTCGGGGTCTCCCTTCATTGGATGTATGACTGGGAAATCCCAGGGCAGGATGACCATAGCCCTACCATGTGCTGACCACGGTGATAGTACTTTGAATTTGGTGCTGTGCAGGTTTTGCTCAGGATCATTGTTAGGTTCAGAACAACATAGGGGGTGTGTACCAACTATAAGTCCCCGCTCATAACTATCAATGGCGGGGTGCGTGGTACGTATAATGTATAGTGTATCTTCGTTGTTACAATAATATTCATATGTATTCATAAAGCCATATTGTCCATCAATATCAAGATCTATATCTACATACAGTTTTTGATATATCAATATATTCTAATACCTATATAGCAACATCCAAATAGATTAAGAAAAGGGAAACCTAGGAACATGAGCAAAAACCGATAAACAAACATCTATGACATGCTGGAAATAATCTACATAATATCTATAATCATTGGCATGTGGTACCTCCAATTCCCGCCATGTCTACAGAAGCGGCAGGTTCTCCCCGCGGGGCCGTCTGCGGAAACAGCCTCAACGATGGCGACTACTACAGCTGCCGCTGGGTGGGCTTCACCGAGCCCCAGACCTGCTACGCGCGCGCGCCGGTGGGACACCTGGCTCGCACCAGGAAGTAGTATCCCTTGCGCCGCGTATCAGGGCTATTTTCTAGGGAAAAATGAGGTTCCAAAATGGGGTTGGGCCCTGCATATAGAAACAGGTTGGGAATTGCATTTTATAAGATTTCAATGTTTCGGTAGTTGAAAGACCTTTAAAAATCGAAAGTCATTTTGTAGCAAGGGAAGTTGCCCTTCGGATGGCAAAATGTTAAACCCAATCTCATTTTAAAGCAAGGGAAGTTGCCCTTCGGAAGGCAACATGTTAAAACCCAATCTCATTTTGTAGTGGTGGAGTGTCCCCTTCAAGTAACTTGATGATAAAAACCAATCTTCATTTTGTAGTGGTTGAGTGTCCCCTTCAAGAAACCTGATGATAGAAACCAATCTTCATTTTGTAGTGGTTGAGTGTCCCCTTCAAGTAACCTGATGATAGAAACCAATCTTCATTTTGTAGTGGTTGAGTGCCCCCTTCAAGTAACCTGATGATAGAAACCAATCTTCATTTTGTAGCAGTATCATGTTGTCATTTTCCGTAACCCTAAGGAGGTTGAGAGCCATCATTTTATGATGGCTGAGGTTAGGAACAAATGCAATGCCTGCAAAGTGACGGGTCTCGACCCCATAGGTGAAATTCAAACCGTATATTTAAACAGCAACGGTTGGGGATTAAACCAGCAAACATTTGCAGTTAACCAGCAAACATGATCAACCATGTGGATTTTAAGGACAAGGCATTGGGATTTTCCCAGCAACAAGTGGCATGCCAAACCAACCTCAGAGTGTTGATTTAAGCAACAAACATGTGGGTTTAAAAGCACGCAACTGGGGTCCTACCAACAGAAAATACCACCTTTGACCAGTGAAAATGTGCCTTTGACCGACACAAACTGTGATATGACCAACAAGAATGATTTTGATCAACAGCAAATTGGATTTACAGTAAGAGACCCAAAAAGTGTGACTTAACAAGAATTTATTGTGATTTTACCAGCAACGCTTGGGATTTAGACAGAGAAAGCAGCACCTTCTTCTCCGAAATATGGTGGCAAATTAAAGCTGTTCAATCTTCGTAGCGGTTGCTATATTTGAGTGTAGTTCTACGATGAGTTGGGTATGGAGATGGACAATGGTAAAATATGGTCGGTAGGAATTCTTAGAACCATGAATCATAAATCTTAAGAAGGATAATCATATATCACGTCCTATCGACCAGGTAGCGTTTTCGGTAGTATGATGAGACTCAGTAGCATGGTCAGTGGCTCATTTGGATGGTGAGGTTTCACCGTTTTGCACGTTCTGTCGCCCAGGATATTGCGTCAAGAAGATTTGTGCCTATCAGGGTGGCCCGACCTTTTTGTTTCAGCAACTTTTCATTTTTTCCATAGCTTGAATCAGTGGGTTGAAGATCAGAAATCTGCAAAACCATAATCCCCGTAAAATCAATGCTGCATTGATGATGAACCGGAGCAAGTTTGAGCCTGGATGATTGGAGCAACAGGAACATGATTTCACTTTTGTCAATGTAATTCCTTCACTCTAGTACTACACCTCTAGAAGACAGGTTGAGTATTGGATCTATCCGTTTTGGGGTCCCCTTTTTCGGGTATCCAACTACAGTGAAGGATGACCACAATCCCTGTGCAGTGAATGGGAATGACTCGGGTTGGTAGTCAGAAGCTGAGGTGGCATCAAGACGTGCACAGAATATGACCCTCCCATCTATGAACAGTTCTGTATTGGAGATCCTGATGGGGGAGTCATCGAGCATGCCGTGATCCAGTACACTTGCTGCGATCAAAATGCATCTTGGCATATCTTGGCATATCTTGGCCAGAAAACAATGCGGGCCACAGGTGAATGCGGTGTCTGCAATGTGCCATGCAGCAGCATTAGTTCGATCTGCTGTCCGTTCGTGCCTGTAGATCGATTGATTAACGGCAGAATCACTGCAATGATACCACATCTACTAATACCCATCCAACACCAATATAATTCCTTTTAACAATGCGATTCAAAACTGAATACATATATCATATAATATCATATGATATCATATAATATCATATGATATCATATAATATCATATAATTACATAATATATATATATACACATGCATATATATATATTATATGTGTATACACATATTGATATATTGATATATTCAATTATATATATTATATATATTATATATTATATATATATTATATATATTATATATATTATATATTATATATATATATTGATATATACCTGATGTTTTTTGGATTTTGCCATTTTTGGGGAAGGTGGTGACCTATGTGGGCACCGTGACGGGTGGAAGACTGGATCGCATGGGCAGATACGAAATATTGGTGGGTGCGCGGACCCCTGGCTGATCCTATCGTGGGAAGAGACCCCAAACAGTGTGGGGCCAGTGGGGGGTAGGAAATCAATGCTTTAGCTTTAAATACAAGCAATTCGTAGCAATTCTATGTGTAGGACCTCATACCAGAACCAGCACCCTGATCTAACCCCGGCCTTTACTTCCCGCAACACACTGTTTGGGGAAAAATTGCGTTGTAGTTGTAATAATTGTGATTATCATGGTAGTATATCCTAAAATGATGTGGGAAACCCCGGCTGCCAAAAACACAACTCCCATGACTGGGAATGGCTTATAGTATACCACATTCCCCCTGAAAATCATTCCAGTTATGTGGAAATTCCCTACTAAAACCATGGTTTTTTGTAGGGGTGTTTAATATTGGGGCGATGGGATTCTACCAGCTATAATAAAATTCATGGAATGAGGATAGTTTATGAAATTGGCGACTGCCACATTGAGAATTTCATTGGGGAACTGCAACTTAAACTATAAAATATTAAAATCTCATTGATCCATTTAAACATTTACAATCCTGATCCATATCCCATTTACATGACAATATGTTTTACCCAAAAATATCCCAAAATATATAACATACATTAGGGAAATGATGATAAACCATGAAATTTGATAAAATTTGGAGGTACCCTGTTCTCAGACAAAATTCATGCTGTTAGTATTCTAAATGTAAGAGAAAATATGTTCTTTTTTGTTGTTTTTTCTTTAACATTTCACCATGTATTTGGATTTTTTTCGTCATTTGCCTAGCCTTCCAAGATCATGGGAAGATCATGATGATCTCTGGGATGGAACAGCCGCAACACGGTGCTGATGGGATGAATAAAAGGGGTTGTCATCTTTGGTAAAATCCACCCTGGAAAAAGATCAGACATGACTGGTCACGACAAAAAAATGTGTTCCACTGAGGAACAATGTTGGAACCTCCTGGAGCGAACCGCACAGCATTACCTGTGCAGCTTTGGTTTTGACAGGGACGGATGCCTTCAAATATGTCACTTGGCAAAAACAAATACCGCTGGAAAATCAAGCTGCCCATGGGATTTCTTTTGGTTTTTCACAGTGAAAGTATCGAAAAAAAAAACGGTTGGTGGTTTTTCGGCGGGCAGCTGCGATGTTCCATGAAGGATATCCCTGAAAGACCTGCATGTGACAAGGGGATCTGATACCCACAGTGGGATATTCGATATAGCGGATATTCTCTAGGGCCTAGGGGGAAATCCCTGAGTTCTGGGCAATCAACCAATTCTATGGCAAGGTGGGGAAAATGGCAGCTGGGCAGCTGAATGAACTACCAGAAAGTACCAGGAGCTACCCTCTTAACATCATAGATTGACATTCCCACCAAATGGGTTTGGAATGATTTGGAGTCGGATTTCCCTGAAGGAAATTGTTATATCGTGGAGACATCTGGATTTCTTTTAGTCAGTAGTTGGCCATAACCGCACTAGTGCTTGATTGCGAACTGCTAGAATGTCACTTAGTCCGTTGTGAGCAGGGTTGAAATCCCTACAACTTTGGGGTTACAGTGTCTTATAGCAACCCTCCAAAAGAAAATCGAAGCAACTAGTCAAGTCATTTATACCTATATGTTACATACTGTTGGTAAAACTTCCCACCTTATTCTGTTTTTTTTGGGGGTTACATGGGGTTACCATCTACCTTTCACACCTCACCGGCCCAGGAGATCGAAGCCAAGTGCGAGGCGGTGATGCCGCAAGATACCTGTCGAGTGACCTGTGCGTCTGGTTACTTCGAGGAAGAGCTTCTTGGTGAAAAGCTGGTTGCTGGGGAAACCTGGGATTTTTTTGGAGAACCATTGAGAAACATATGAAATGTGAATTTAGATGGGGTTAACATATGATAGAATGAATGTCAATAAGATATTATCAATAATTTGTGATGAACAAACACACACACATACATATACTGGTGTATATATATATATTATGATAAAACGGTAAACATAATCATAAGCATGAGAACGGTACATCATGATGATGATGATGATGAGGAGGAGGAGGAGGATGATGAGGATGAGGATGAGGATGACAAATTAACACGCCACAACGTTCCTTGAATGGCGTGAGATGGCGGGGATTAAGATATATGATTTGGGTATATGTTTCTGGCAACAGCATTTTCCTCTTGTGGCTTGTTGTTCAACTTGCTCCAATTAGACATATTGATCGCTGATGACTTTGCAACTTTATATAGTTTTGGTTTATTGATTTTTGGGACTGTCCTTTCAATGGGCACAACCTGGACTCTGCATGCTCTCAGTAGCAGGCAGCGGAACGGAACATGCGTACAGTCGATGCTATATAATGTGTCAATTTATGATCTCGTTGGGTTCACCAACGATCCAGTACTATCAAGATTATCCATGTCACAATATAGCCTGAACACGCCTGATATACAGTGTGTATAGTAGTAGAAAAGTAATTAAAGGTTGAAGTTGAGGTTCTGTGTTTTTTGGGCACCGCTCCCTTCTCTGCCCAGGGTTTTTTCCAGTGGTACCCAACCAGCGCGGCCCAGGGTGCCAGGGAAGACCAACGGAGTGTACACCTGCACCGCCGGGCTAAACGAGCCACTTGATGGAACCAAAGCCGGCCATGAAAAATTAGGGAACTGTTGGTTGGTGAAACATCGAATTCGTGACCCTGTTGTTCGTGGGAATTCACCCTGTATACCCGTGTTATTTTAGAGTAAACATATATTGAACAACCAATCTATATTTGGATGGCAAAGGGTGGCTCTGCAGTAAACCGACAAAATCATTTGGACAACCCCTGAGGAAACCCAAGGAAAATTACATATATAGTGGTGGATTGTCCATATCAATGTTGAATTTTCGGCGGGTAGACCTCCCAACTGAATTCCAACCATGACCATCTCCAGCCATTGGGTCTTCCAATTATATTAAGGTATGTGCTCAAATTTACATGTTGTTGTTCCTAGGTTGCAGCATATGTTTGGACAAATCCGTTGAAATCATTCTCACTGGCCCGGATAGATTGAAAGGACAAGGTCGAAGTTCTTCTTGGAGACTGGCAAACCTATGCAACCCCCCAGAAAATCGTGAATCAGCCAATTCTTGCAAACCAAATTACAGTATATAACATGAATGGCCCGGTTCCTAGAAAACATATTGGCAGATTTGTAGTGTGCTTTCAATGCCATTTCCACCTAGATTGTCGATATACCCGAAACGCGAACCTTTGTGCCAACTTCGAAATCATCTTCAGCTGGTTGGTCTACAGATAGTGTTGGATCACATTTGGTGATCTAGCATCCCTCCAGAAAAATGAATAATTAGTCTAGTAGATAAAATCCTGCACTTAAATGATGGGATATTACTTTTCAAAGTTGTTCTATTTGTTTGAGGTTTACTATACTACACGCCATACCTATTTGTTTGTTCGTTTAACATGTCCCCCAAATATGAGGACCGCTCAGAGGATAGGCATCAAAAATGAACCAAATCGTTTCTCAAAGCAGGATTTCTACATATTTAAACACATTTAAACATATTTAAACATATTTAAGGAGCGAAGGGTTTAGATATGTTTAAAGGAATGATGTTTATACACATGTATTGTCCCTTTAATATCCTTTAATACAATAATAACATGTTTCTTTCCCATAGAATGATGATCCAAGATATCCAAGCTATCGCGATGTCTTCCAGGGCTTTGGTGGGCGATCCTCCACATTGCCTCTGCATGCCGCAGCGTGGCGTTTTGCATGATCATGCATGACAATGATCTATGAGTTCGTGGGTTCGTGATGGTTTGTGCGGGAAATTTGCTTAATGGGGATGTGCACATGTATATATATATATACATACAATTATATACATATACGTATATAATAATATATAATATATATATATATACATTATTATATATACATATCATATATACATATAGATGATACTCAGATATAGACATAGAGTCTGTGATTCTAGTCTGTATGTGCACAACCTACTGTTGTTTTTTCATAGCACATCCTCTTTTTATGTTCGAATCCTCGAGGATGCCATCTGAGATTTCAGGCATTTACATGGCTTCTGGGAATGTAAACATAATCCTCACCCGTTTTTCCATGAAATAAAAAAACACCCTCTCATCCCATTATACTGAGTATGTTGCTTGGTTTGTAAATATTCATGTTTTAGGTGATATTATTCAACAATCCAATGACTGCAACCCCCATATTTAGTAGACCATAACATGAATATTATCAGCCATACTATAAAGGAATGTAATCCAGAGCTTTTATGTGTCACGGCCAGAACATGGGTTAGTTTCCTATCTTGGTGGATGGTCATCAATGGATTTCTGGAGTTAAATACCCAGTACAAGGATTCCCATGGAAGGGGAATCATGACCATAAAACAGATATTATATTGATGGTATTTCATGGTTATATATACCCATTATATTCCCATTAAACCCAAATACACAAAAACTACATCTCCCATTATGGTTGGTCAAATCCAACATTATATCATAATATAGATTGTTTTGACCCTCGCAAGGTGACTTAGTTACGTAGTTAGTTTGTGAGTTTAAAGTTTAAACAGGTTTCTCTAACTTAGTTTGAGATCCACTGGTTATCCATTGGTCATATATCATGTTCTGACCCTTACACGTTATCATACATCATAAACTTGGGGCTTATAAAACCATGGTTAATATGGCTCCGCATTTCCAATGCCACGTTAATAACGGACCATTACCATAAACCATGTACCAGGAGACATATAGGAGGGTACATCCGCAGTTAATATACACCATTTTACAATAGCTTTCCTAAGGGCATATATATATATGTTGTTTATCCATTAGATTCCATGTGATTTTGAACCACAAACCAGACGCCATATTACCATATTACCATATTTCCATATTACCATATTACCATAGGATCCATGTATGCTATATATGGTAACATTTACCATCAATATACCCCCAATGTTAGCATATATGCCATAAATGGATCCTATGGGTATTACCATAAATCATCATCCATCTTCCAGATATTTACAGATGTTTTCATTGGATTCACCATTGATCAATGGCTCAGGTCCGCCGGTGCGGGTTGCAGAGCTGGAAATGCCCCCGTTCATGGTGCCCCACCGGTCCCTGTGGTGAACAACGCGATCTGCCTACAATGCGCCGTGGTGAGTCACCTGGTGCAATGGATCTGCCGGGGGGTGCCATGTTAGTGCCATGGTGACTTGGGAACCCCCATTGGATACCTCCATAGTTGCCAGTTTTGGTTTATTTAAGGTCCCAAACACAGTAGTACTGTAGTCCTATACCTGATCTGCAAAGAATCACGTGGTAATGTATACTTATACAGATACTCATAGTGTATGTGTGTATGTATATATATGTATATATACACATACATGTACACATAGATATTTTACTACATATAAATAGCATATTAAGATGAAACATGTGAAACATGTAGAGAACTCAGACTTGTGTGTCTACATCATACGACGACCAATATACCTTACAATTGCATTAAACTGGCTGAAAATACAACCAGGTAGCAAGTTGCAAGTTCATGCAGACTACTCTTGAGCAGTGGGATTCCTGCTATTCAGTACCATTCAGCAATTCCGACTCACAGCACTTGATAGCTTCATTTGTTGAAGCGTGTCTGAGTTTTTCCATGCCTGCTATAGCAAGACCAACATTTTTTTGAGGTCGATTGACGGACCACCAGTTTATGATGCTGTTATTTCATGCTATTTCCAGATATGATGTGATTATTACTTCTTCTGGACAAAAAAACTATCAAGACTAAGACTATAATTTGTTTCTGCTATATTAGATATTTCCAGATAGGGAGCCATTTATTTAGGGCAATGTTTTTGAAGTTTAGTTGTTTTTTGATTCCTCCCTCCTCTCTACTGTCCTGTTTTTCTGCTTCTTTGCTTCTCTTTGTTTCTCTTTTTTTTCTGCTTTTTTGCTTCCCCGTTTTTACGAAAGCCAGCTAGCTGGATCGTTGCTGTCTGCGAACAAAGTGAGTATAAGGGGGTCTGGGGGGAGGGCTTGCCCAAGTGGGCCAAAATCTCGCTATTACTTGGGGGGAAGGGTGTGTTTTGGGAGCGTTTTTCCGGGTCATGTACCATGCGGCAAAAGGGTGACGGTAGGGTATCGATTCCCCCTAGGTCCGCATTTTGGGGAGCCTTTTGGGGTGCTTGGCAGAGGAGCCGATGTCTGCGAGAAGGGGGAAGGAGTGCTAGCACAGATAGGAAAGGTAAGGGTAAAGGCGCCTTTTGCCACTGCTGTCGATGTTGGTGGAGGAAGGACAAAAGTCGCCCGGCTCGAGGGTCTTTGTCGGGCACTGTGATGTCAGATGGGAAGGTGTTTGAAGGAGGAAGGAGGGCTAGCGCATAATGCGAGGTTTGAAGGCGTAGACATAGCAACTGTCACAAAAATTAACCACCACAAGTACCGTGGAGGAGGTACATAATGGCCTGTGAAGCAGAATGTAGAGCATTCCTGACAATTCAGGCCGGGTTCGCTTATATATATATATATGTATATTTATATATATATATATATATATATGTTTTTTACGAAAGCCGGCCGGGAAGCTGGCCAGTTGTTGTTTGCGACCGAAGTGAAAATAGGGGGTCTGGGGGGGGCTCTGGGTGAAAAGTATATATGGGAAAAGTCTGTGGGTGAGAAGTATATGGTTGATCCGTCTTTGGGTGAGAAGTATATGAGTGAAAAGTATGTGCAAGAAGAGTTTCTGGGTGAAGAGTCTCTGGGTTAAAAGTCTGTGCAAGAAGATTTTCTGGGTGAAGAGTCTCTGGGTGAAAAGTATATGGGTGAAAAGTATGTGCGAGAAGAGTTTCTGGGCGAAGAGTCTCTGAATGAAAAAAATATGGGTGAAAAGTATATGCAAGAAGAATTTCTGGGTGAAAAGCCTGTGCAAGAAGAGTTCCTGGGTCAAAATTATGTGCAAGAAGAGTTTCTGGGTGAAGAGGCCCTGGGTGAAAAGTATATGGGTGAAAAGTATGTGCAAGAAGAGTTTCTGGGTGAAGAGTCTCTGGGTGAAAAGTATATGGGTGAAAAGTATGTGCAAGAAGAGTTTCTGGGTGAAAAGTCTCTGGGTGAAAAGTCTGTGCAAGAAGAGTTTCTGGGTGAAGAATCTCTGGGTGAAAAGTATATGGGTGACATGTATGTGCAAGAAGAGTTTCTGGGTGAAGAGTCTCTGGGTGAAAAGTATATGGGTGAAAAGTATGTGCAAGAAAAGTTTCTGGGTGAAAGTATATGGGTGAAAAATATGTGCAAGAAAAGTTTCTAGGTGAAGAGTCTCCGGGTGAAAAGTATATTGGTGAAAAGTATGTGCAAGAAGAGTTTCTGGGTGAAGAGTCTCTGGGTGAAAAGTATATGGGTGAAAAGTATGTGCAAGAAGAGTTGCTGGGTGAAGAGTCCCTGGGTGAAAAGTATATGGGTGAAAAGTATGTGCAAGAAGAGTTTCTGGGTGAAGAGTCTCTGGGTGAAAAGTATATGGGTGAAAAGTATGTGCAAGAAGAGTTTCTGGGTGAAGAGTCTCTGGGTGAAAAGTATATGGGTGAAAAGTAGGTCCAAGAAGAGTTTCTGGGTGAAGAGATTATGGGTGAAAAGTCTGTGCAAGAAGAGTTTCTGGGTGAAGAGTCTCTGGGTGAAAAGTCTGTGCAAGAAGAGTTTCTGGGTGAAGAGTCCCTGGGTGAAAAGTATATGGGTGAAAAATATCTGCAAGAAGAGTTTCTGGGTGAAGAGTCCTTGGGTGAAAAGTATGTGCAAGAAGAGTTTCTGGGTGAAGAGTTTCTGGGTGAAAAGTATGTGCAAGAAGAGTTTTTGGGTGAAGAGTCTCTGGGTGAAAAGTCTGTGCAAGAAGATTTTCTGGAGGAAGAGTCCCTGGGTGAAAAGTTTATGGGTGAAAGGCATATGGGGGAAAAGTCTGTGGGTGAGAAATATATGGTTGATCCGTCTGTGGGTGAAAAGTAAATGAGTGAAAAGTATGTGCAAGAAGATTTTCTGGGTGAAGAGTCTCTGGGTGAAAAGTATATGGGTGAAAAGTACGTGCAAGAAGAGTTTCTGGGGAAGAGTTTCTGGGTGAAGAGTGTATGGGTGAAAAGCCTGTGCAAGAAGAGTTTCTGGGTGAAGAGTCCCTGGGTGAAAAGTATGTGCAAGAAGAGTCTCTGGGTGAAGAGTGTCTGGGTGAAAGGTATATGGGTGACAAGTATGTGCAAGAAGAGTTTCTGGGTGAAGAGTTTCTGAGTAAAAAGTATATGGGTGAAAAGCCTGTGGAAGAAGAGATTCTGGGTGAAGAGTCTCTGGGTGAAAATTATATGGGTAAAAAGTACGTGCAAGAAGAGTTTCTGGGTGAAGAGTCTCTGGGTGAAAAGTATATGGGTGAAAAGTATGTGCAAGAAGGGTTTCTGGGTGAAGAGTCTCTGGGTGAAAAGTATATGGGTGAAAAGTCTGTGCGAGAAGAGGTTCTGGGTGAAGAGTCTCTGGGTGAAAAGTATATGGGTGAAAAGTACGTGCAAGAAGAGTTTCTGGGTGAAGAGTCTCTGGGTGAAAAGTATATGGGTGAAAAGTATCTGCAAGAAGAGTTTCTGGGTGAAGAGTCCTTGGGTGAAAAGTATGTGCAAGAAGAGTTTCTGGGTGAAGAGTCTCTGGGTGAAGAGTCCCTGGGTGAAAAGTATGTGCAAGAAGAGTTTCTGGGTGAAGAGTTTCTGGGTGAAGAGTCCCTGGGTGAAAAGTATATGGGCGAAAAGTCTGTGCAAGAAGGGTTTCTGGGTGAAGAGCCCCTGGGTGAAAAGTATATGGGTTAAAAGTACGTGCAAGAAGAGTTTCTGGGGAAGAGTCTCTGGGTGAAAAGTATATCGGTGAAAAGTGTGAGCAAGAAGAGTTTCTGAATAAGAGTCTCTGGGTGAGAAGTCTGTGCAAGAAGAGTTTCTGGGTGAAGAGTCTCTGGGTGAAAAGTATGTGGGGGAAAAGTCTGTGGGTGAAAAATCATTGGGGGAAAATAGGGGTAGATGGGATGCTGGCTTTCGTTCCCCCCTTCTCAGGTTTTTTGCTTCTCTGCTTTTCTGCCTTTCTGCTTTTTTGCTTCTACGCTTGTCCGTTTTTTTTTGCGTCTCTGCTTTTCTGCTTTTTTGTGTCTCTGCTTGGTTGCTTCTATGTTTTTTGTTTTTGTTTGTTTCTCTGCTTCTTTGTTTCTCTGTTTTCCTCTCTGTTTTTTGTTTATATGTGTTTTTGTGTGTGTCTGCTTCCCTTCCCCATGTGTTGCTTTAGCATAGAGATGAGTGATGTGCTGGTGGGAATTGGGCAGTGAGACATACAGGCGAATGCAGAGGGATTGGTTGGAGCATCCACATCCACTTACCTTGGTGATTTAAATGGACATAGTTGGAGAGGAAGAAGAAGAAGAGGAAGAGGAGAAAGCTTTGTTTCCCACCTGCCAGGTGAGGGTTGTTAGATTTTATGTCAGTTGCCTCCTCCTGCCTCCTGCCTCGTCCTCCTCCTCCTCCTCCTCCTCTCCTCCTCGTCCTCCTCGTCCTCCTTGTCATCCTTGTCGTCCTTGTCGTCCTCGTCGTCCTCGTCGTCCTCGTCCAACTGCGACCCGCGATCCACAGTGTTCTCTGCCGGACCTCAACCACGACCATCCACGCCCAGTGTTCCTTGCCGGACCTCAACCGCGAGTATCCCCGCCCAGTGTTCCCTGCCGGACCTCAACCACGACCATCCACGCCCAGTGTTCCCTGCCGGACCTCAACCACGACCATCCACGCCCAGTGTTCCCTGCCGGACCTCAACCGCGAGTATCCACGCCAAGTGTTCCCTGCCGGACCTCATGAGATATGCCAGATAGAATGCCAGAAGATATGCCAGATGGAATGTCAGAAAGAATGCCAGAAGATATGCCAGATAGAATCCCAGAAGATTTGCCAGATAATATGCCAGAAGATATGCCAGATAGAATGCCAGAAGATATGCCAGAACATATGCCAGAAGATATGCCAGATAGAATCCCAGAAGATTTGCCAGATAACATGCCAGAAGATATGCCAGAAGATATGCCAGATAGAATGCCAGAAGATATGCCAGAAGATATGCCAGAAGATATACCAGAAGATATGCCAGATAGAATGCCAGAAGATATGCCA